ATGCAGAGCAGACAGAGGTGGACGTAGATGCAGATACCGGTGTAGATTAGAGCGTAGACTCCACACACACACACACACACACCTACACACTGGTGGATGAGTATTGCAGGATCTGAGTACGTGCTCATGTTGCACGCTGCGTGCTTTAACTTTTCGGTGCAGCCACTGTCGGCACCACATGATGCTGGTAACTCTCTCTCTCTCTCTGTCTCTATCTGTATATGCCCATATATATATATGTATATATATATATATATATGTATGTATGTATGTATGTATGTATATATATATATGTACAGGCATATATACACATATGTGTAGACATGTCGACATAGGTGCACAGAAGGTTTCCTTCTCGTGCCCCAGGAAATGCTGGACTACGATGGAAGCGGTACCGTTGGAACAGAAGAGTTCTGCGATGGGGTCATCAAAGCCTGGTGCTCAGCCATGGTGAAGCAACTGCAAGCATGAGCCACCCTCTTGAATTCCCGGACATACAAGGGATGCTTAATAGAGGGGCCTTGATGTTTAGAAGATACTGGGGGGGATTATGAAATATCCTAAACTTAATGGAAGTAAATGGAAAAGGAATTGCCGAGTATGCAGTCTTCTATCTCAAGCCTTAAAGAAGGCTCCATCATGGTTCGGTACCAGGACCCAGTACCTTGTGGCTTGTTAAAGCTTAAGGAGTGTGGATGTCTGGGTCTGGCTAGGGCCTTTTCCAGCGCCCGAAGCTATTGAACCTTGAACGCTAACCGCTGCAAACCCTATAAACCCACACTAAAGCCCGATATATCCCAACCCCCTAAGCCCTAGACCCCAAACCCTTTTTGCCGTAAGCCCAACCCGTAACTCTGTAAGCCCTATAAGCCGCGAACCCTATAACCCCTCAATAACCCTAAAGCCTTAACCGCCTGGAGTTGTGAAGCTCTGATCCGAAAAGGGGCTGCAACCCTGGCCTCCTGGCCGATTACACTTACCCGGGGGACCCTGAAGGACCTACCTTTCGAGGGTTCCTTATTATGATTTCTTACCTATGCCAGTCCTTCAAAAGGTAGGATGGGCCTATGGGGTCTATGACTATGAAACCCTGCCGTAGTCAGATCGGTTTCCTTACTCTGTCTCAACCTCAAACCCTTAACCCTGAAACCCAAACCCTTAACCCCTAAAGCCCTAAACCCTAATTTTCATCACGCCAAAACGCTTGGAGGCTGCAAACGGCGTCACTCCCGTCGAGATGAGCCGTCTTATCAAGCTACCGAGCCGCAGCAACGGTTCAAGGTTTAGGGTTTATGGGGTTTCAGGTTTAGTATTTAGGGTTTAGTGTTCACAGGGGTTTAGGGTTTATGGTTTAGGGGTTTAGGGTTTAGGGTAGGGTGGCGTCAGTGAAGGGCCGTGAAAGACCACATTGTGGTAACAGACCTGGTGCTACCCCTTCACCTGGCAGACTCGTTACATGGTTACCTGGGCGCAGTGATTCTGCAGAAGCTTCAACCCAACCCCAAGATAGAAGCCTGGCTCATTATGAATCTAAGTCCCTACGTCTCTCATTATCTTTTATGCACTATCATTACATAATTTTACATACCCTTAAGTTGCCTTTAAGCAATATGAGTTCGTGAAGCCCTTACATCAAATGGGTGGTTGTCAAAAATATGGTCCCTTTTTGGGTCCATATTATTACAATGCGGCACCTAATATTCATGGTACCCAAAGAGGGACCCAAATTTTGACAACCACCCAAAAATACCCTTGTCAAGTCCCAAAGGGTCCTATGTACCGATATAGTACAATGTAGGAATTGCTATTATGGCCTTGGGAAGTATTCCCCATACCCTAAACCCTAAACCCTAATCCCTAAACCCTAAACCCCTAAACCCTAAACCCCTAAACCCCTAAACCCTAAACCGTACATAGGACCCTTTGGGAGTGGCAGCGAGCTGTGGCCTGAGTTCACTCAGGCAGAACACGGACATCCTGCACAACAGCCGTTCCGCTCTGACCTCAAAGGGGCAGGTCTAAAGAAGAAAGATTTACCCCAAGGGTCCAAAGGACCCACGAGTCAGGTACCCGGTGTTAGGATAGTTAGTAGTTATGTAGGTTAGGATTTTGGAGAGTTTATGATTATTGGGTACTTGGACCCTCGGGGTTAGGGCCTAAAGTTTCGTCACTAAACCCTATAAACCCTAAACAGGAGCTTTGGGGTAGAGACCTTGCAGCTGACTCGGCAATAGTCAACTGCCCCATTCGGGCTCATGGAGAGCTACCATCAATTTCGAAGGTAATGTTCTGGGCGCAGAGAACCCTGCAAGAAATTCAATTTCTATAACCCTTCGGGTTAATGTGAGTTCACCGTTCAACTTATCCAATCGGTCTACATACATATACATTTGTATCTATCTATCCATCTATCTATCTATCTATATATATATATATATATAGTATCCCTACCATGAAAGTTCAATGGCTAAGCCTCCTTTAAACCCTAAGCACCCCTATTGGTGGACACGGAGCTCGTAAGCTAGGGCAAAGGAGTGGGGCCTAGAGCTAAGATCAGGCACCAGTACGGTTTTTGGGTTTAGGGGTCTAGCCTGGGGCAGCGGGGTTCAGGGCGCAGTGATCCAGCTGTGTTTAGGCTTGGTGGCGGGGAGCCCGGTTTAGGGTTTTGGTTTTGGGTTTGGGGTTTTAGGGTTTAGGGTTTGTTCTTCTCATTCGCGCAGTAGTCCCTGCCTGGCTTCCAACTTAACGTATGATTGCAGGCTTGAGAGGACTCTTGTCTTCTTGAGTTTTTGGCTCTGCTCTCTCTCTCTCTCTCTCTCTCTCTCTCTCTCTCTCGCCCTCTCTCTCTCTCTCTCTCTCTCTCTCTCTCTCTCTCTCTCTCTCTCTCTCTCTCTCTCTCTCTCTCTATGTATGTATACATATATATATATATATATATGAATGTATGCATGCATGTATATATATATATATATATATATATATAAACGTAGTATGAATATCATAACATATCAATGTACATTCGGAGCAACTCAGATATGCCCACTCTCTCCAATGTTGCTCATCTTTTCTGGTTGTTTGGTCTGCTTGTTAAAAATGGGTCCTACCCACATCCTGGGTTTGCCGAAAGAAGGAACTACATTGGCGGGGGTAGTCTGTGTTTGGTACTATTAACTTCCATGTCAGTTCTTGCCTGCTTTTAGGCGCCCTTGCATTAATTAAGGATCCTACAATTATGCAATCTAACCTGTTTGTAGAGGGCACATATGTTCTGCAACTCCCAAAAGTATGCATTCACAACCCTTGGCGGTGAGAACATTACATGGGATTTTCGGCTTTAGGGCTTTGGGCTTAGGGTCTACGGATGTAGGTACATTCCCGCATCTCTGGAAACCTCGCCAAAACCCACCCAGATTTCAATCAACCATCCCATAGAAGCTGACCCTAAACAGCGACGCATGACGCCCAAAGCCCAAGGCCTAATGCTATGAAGTCATGAAGCATCCCGTGAACCTGACCCCACCTGTCGCATCCCACTTCTCCAATGCCCGCACGAGGTCATTGCCCTACTCAGGCCTGATCAGGGATGGGCATGATTCCAGGTCTTAAAAAAGGCAGGATAGTCAATCTAAAGTCTCGAGCAGGAGATCTAAAGAAGCAGCATGCTCTTTGGCTGTAATTGAGGCAGAGCTTCGCCACGAGCCTGAACGATGTGAACACGGGCGCTTCTAACAACTAACCTAGGCGATTCCCGCGCTGAAGCGCTAAATCCCGAACCCTTATAACCAGCCATAAACCCTGAACACTGAACCAGCCGAAACCCGAAGCCCAATCACCTACTTGCATCCAGGGAAAATGTCGCAGGCTCAATGCCAAGCAAAAGCCTCTCTGATGCTAGAACCCAGGCAGCAACAAAAGCACCGTGGATAATGACTAATGATGCCCCTTCTGGTCCCGAATGTAAGTACAGTAGACTATACCCCCCAAAACATCCCAAAACCCTGTTCTCATATTTCAGGCCTTACGTTATCGAGGGAGGGGCTGGGCTGCCACGTCTGCACAAGAAGTCGGACTTTAGAGTTTTTTCTGAAGTTTGAACCCTACGTCATAGACGGGAATCCCCTTTATCGTGCTGACGGATTTGAAGGGTTGCGGTTGTGCAGGATCCACCCACAGTTGCTCCGACCGACATTAAACTGAGACTAATGATGCAAGACTTTCGACGGTCCATCGGTCCTGCGTTGCTACTGCTAGCGCAAGGCAGTCTTCTTGCCCATGACACCCCCAAACTCTAAAACCTAAATCCTGATCAAATCCTAAACTCTAAACCCTCAATCCTAAACCCTAAACCCTCAGTCCTAAACCCTAAACCCTCAATCCTAAACCCTAAACCCTCAATCCTAAACCCTAAACCCTCAATCCTAAACCCTAAACCCTCAATCCTAAACCCTAAACCGCGTCCGTTTCTTCAGGGGAGAGGAGGTCGATATCGGCTCGCTCGATGGCTCCGGCACCGACGAGGCTCAGGGAGCTGAGCCAGTCTAAGTTAGTGTAGGGTTTAGGGTTTAGGAGGGCTTAGGAGGGTTTAGGGGGGCTTAGGAGGGTTTACGGGTTTAGGGTTTAGGAGGGTTTAGGGGGGCTTAGGAGGGTTTACGGGTTTAGGGTTTAGGAGGGTTTAGGGCTTAGGGCCCTGGAGGGTTACATGTGGATATGGAAAATGGGGTACGGTGCCCAGCAGATCTCTGTGTTTATGTAACATGCAGGTACGTGCGTGTAGTTTTATATGTTTTTCTGTTTTAGAACATACTCACATGGGTGGTTGTCAAAATTGTGGCCCCTTTTAGGGCACCCTGAATATTAGGTGCCGTATTATAGTAAGGACCCAAAAAGGGACCCTAATTTTGACAACCACCCACACACAAATATATATATATATATATATATATATATTTGTGTGTATATGTGCATGTACATCATATGTAGAAGCTGTAATCATTTATTTGTTGATTTGTTTATATTTACACTTATAATTACACACACACACTAATATACATATATATATATATATATAGAGAGAGAGAGAGAGAGAGAGAGAGAGAGACAGAGAGAGAGAGAGAGACAGAGCACATATGGTTCCGAGTGTAGTGGCTTCTCTACTGTAGAACGTTTCAGTATGGTTCCGTTCATGCATGTGCACATGCAGTTAGATGTACCTTTGTACGCTCGATCCAGACAGAGCGAAACCTGCCCGAACACCAGATGTTCAAGCCATGCCTATGCCTAGCTCCTGCTTCTGCTTGAGGCGTCGACATTTGTCGTCACCTCCGATGTCTGCTACTGACATTGCTGCTGCTACAACTGCCGCTGCCACCTATTGCTGCCACCACCGTCGCCACCTCCATTGTTTCTATCTGTCTACCCACTGCTTCACCCCGTCAGACACTCTACAAGTGCATGTTATCCGCCACCTTTACTTGCTTATGTCGTTTGATCCATGAACCTTCAAGCTCAGAGCGTATATGGGGGCTTCCGAAAATAGGGGTACCTTATTTGGGGTCCTTATAGTAAGGATCCTACTATTTAGGGTACTATATTAGGGTCCCCTATTTTCGGAAACCCCCGTATAGAACCAGCAGAGCCCATGAGCTTCCGACTGTGAGGAGGGCAAGAAGCCGCCGCCGGATGAAAAGCCGGACAAGCCGGACAAACCAAGGCGGCGGCGCAGCAGCGTCGCATTTCAGCAAGCCTTGGCCATGGCGAAGGCCCGTACCTGCCGCTGTTGGGGTTAAAACCAGCACCGCCTAGTATGCGACTGTTGGGGTCTAGGGTTTTGGGGTGTTGTGTGCGCCGCCGTAAAGCGCCGATTGCGGGGTCACCTGGGATGCGTATTGCTGCGTTGTGCAGCAGCCTCTACTCCATCGTAGGGCTCCGACAGAAACCACTAATAGAATTCCCCTGTAATCTGCTAGTACTACTAATATACGAATTAATACACCGTACGATACCCCCAAAACACCATATTCTGATTTGTCAGGCCCTTCTGGTCCGAAAACAGCCCATCGAATCCTCAAGGGAACCCTTGAAATCACCCTTCAATTGATCCTACAGGGTAGTATGAGGGAGACCCCTTCAAGGGCACCCTTCGTAACGGTACTTCTGGCTCTCGCAACAAGGGGGTCTATATCCCCAATATATTTCCCTCAATCCTAACCCAAACTAACTCTTGTATATTACACTGACATTTTTGGAGAAGTGCCGAGGCGGCCGCGGATCCCAAGCCATCCCTTGCGTAGCGATTCAAGATCGAGCCCATTAGGGTTTAGGGTTAAGGGTTGCGGGTTGGCGGGAGTTGTGGGTTGATGGAGATAGAGACGATCACGAGGGCTTCGGGTGCGTAATTATAGGGCTCAAACCCGAGTGAAGTGAGTCTTGCAAGGGGAGACCCAGAAGAGGTCGCAGGCTCACAGTCGCATAGGATCGCATAGGTGTATCTTTCTTGCCTGGGTGCCAAGCTGCTTCTAGGTGTCGATTTCAGCAGTCCCCAGTTTGGGTTTGTTTAGGGCTCGATATTAAGCAAGAAGGGATGTTGAAAACCATCCCAAAGCGATACCAAGCATTGGAGGACTTCGAGGACAATGACAGTGGTGGTGCCGCCGGTGCGACCAGGGTCGAGCAGCATCAGAAAGCCCCTTGCCCTCAAATCTGAAGCGATCAGTACTGAACGCTGCAGAACTCAGCCTGCTTTGAATACGACGAGCGCATATTTGTGTGGAACAGGTAAACCTGTCCACATGTACTGTCAGGAGTGAGTCAGAATGGTACTCGGAAGTGTTTTCCTGCCTGCAAGACTGCGCTGAATCTTCGCAATCGATCCACGCTACCTTGACTGTTTAACTACCTATTTCCTTGAGATGAGGTGCACTATCTACTCTTATGTGCAGATTTGATTACTGTCGTTGGCCGTTTCCGGAGCAACCTCAATTCCAAATGGTTTGCGTATTGATAGAACAGGCTCCCCAAACGGACAAGACAGGACACCATGCTTGCAGATCACGTCTGTGAAACTTTCACTACATAACTGACCGAGCGTTCGAGTACGCGAGGGAACGCGAGAGAGAGAGAGAGAGAGAGAGAGAGAGAGAAAATGGAGTGCGTAAGAGTATGTGTGTGAGTGTGAGTGTGTGTGTGTGTGTGCGTGCGTCTGTGTGTACACGTCTCCGTATGCATGCGTGCCTGAGGTTTTGCGGAATCGTTTGTATCCGTTCTGCCATAGTCTACCCTGCCGGAAACCTTCACCTGGGTCAACTTGTAGGTGGACCAACCTCCGCATCGAAAACCCAGATTAAACTTCCCGGTGCACCAGCAAGCTATTCTATGAAAGACTAAGTCCGCCTGTGTGCGGACCACCATGGCCTCTATGAAAGGTTACTGTTGGGGTGTGGCGAGGGTCCTAAAATGCTGGTATCTGCTCTGGTCGAAAAAACTCGAGTTCAGGGACATCGACCTACACTGTCGACTTACTTCATCCTCTACACCCAAATAAGCCGGCGCAAGGCCTCCTAGTAGCTTATTACATTTGACATAGAAGTCAGAAAGTTGGAACATCATTATCTTCACGTCCTCAAGCTGAAGTGGAAGGAATCCTGGCACCAGGGTTCGCTGTATATCTCATCCTGGACACTCAAGGAGTCTCCGTGACAAGGCAGACACAAACCTCGACTCGAAACCCCCATAATTACCCCTAAAGCTCTAACTCTGGACCCTAAACTGTTGTCAGGGGTATTTCTCAAGAACGGTACTTCTCAAACAGAAAACGTGGGGATCCACGGGCATGGCATGATTGTGCATAACTAAAACTGAAGAAAGGCAAAACTGGTCGGAAGATTTAAGAGGGAACCGAATATTTGAGAAGAAAGGCCGACCAACACAACAAAACCCACAGACCAAGGCTCGCGAGGAGGCCCGGCAAGCGCAGCGAGTCACGCAGCAGCGCGTCAAGGGCCTCGAGGACGAAGCGGGCGAGCAACGGAGTTGGTCGCTTTCTTTTCGCGCGTCAGGGTTTTACGGCGGGTAGAGACTTGTGGATTCATTTGGGTCTTACGCAGGATTGAAAGTCTTGCGATTTGAGGTTTAGGTTTTGTTACAACTGTTCGAGTGGAATCCAGGCAAAGGCCTGCCTCAGCCTCGGAAATAGCGTGTTGAGCAGCAACCAGGAACACCTTACTTACCCGAAAATGGTCTGTCGTGGTCCTGAACCCTAAATCCAACATAGTAATAGCAGGGTAGTAATTAGAAGTAGCAGCAATCCAAACATTGTATCCTTACTGGTAATAAGACCAATACCGAGTATTGGTACCGATCAGTAGTGTCAAGAGCTTGGACTTTCACCTTGTTGCAGGTTCGCATCTTGACAGTTCAGCTCTTTGTTGTCGGGCATTACGGTTATTGTTGTATCATTTTGTTAGTGGGTTCTTGGACGGTGTTGAATTGGTAGCAGAATCAATAGAGGAGTGTAAGGTTTCAGGTTTATGGCTTGGAAAGCAAGCTGCAGGGAGATGCGGGCACTATGCCTCAAACTTCAAAGTTCATAGACCATCATAGACCTTAAACTTTAAATGCGAAAAGTTATGTTGTTTAAGTTTAGAGCTTTATGGTTGTTTAGGGGTTTGAGGCATAAGTGGCAACCGAGGGCCTTTTTCAAGAGGAATCAGAGCGTAAGCTTGCTGGGCTCGTATTGATTAAAAAGGGGGCTTCAGAGTTTTGGGTGTCGGATTTTGAGGTGATGCCAGGGACGTGTTGTATGTTGTTTCTGCGCCTTCAAGATTGTTGCGGCTGGCAGGACTTATCACCCTGAGTCCTAAAGCCAGGTGATAACTCACAACTAAAGCGCCTCATAATCCTTAAACACCTAGACCTTAGCAGCTGCCCTCACCCTATTATAGTGACTATTAGGGCCCTGTTATATTCCTATTATACCACTATTACAGGGTGGGGGCCCCTTCTAAAGGATGCTGTTGGGTTTTGGCAAAGGGAAAGATGGGGGCTTAGGATTTATAAGGGTTTCGGCTCTAGGGTTATTATGTGGAAGGATAAAAGGAGGGACCCTTAATGAGGACCCCTAGGTATATACCTTTAATATATCCATTGTATACCCATTATATAGCCCATTATAGGGTAGGGGTCCCCATTAAGGGTCCCTCCTTTTACCCTTTGGATAGACCTAAACTCTAAAGCCTAACCCTAACCCCCGGATCCCAAAAGCCTATATGGGAGTTTCCGAAAATTAGGGGTACCTTAAGTTGGGGGTCCTTATAATAAGGATCCTACTATTTAGGGTACTTGATTGGGGTCCCCTATTTTCGGAAACTCCCATATATCCGCAACTGATCAGTCCATTGGGGGTACCTTCTTTTGGTCGTCCTTATGATGGAAAGACGGGGCCGGGGCTGGTAACTTGTGCACATCTTCGGATCTTTCGCTGCTCGTCGGGGACAGCTTCTTCGACACATCTACATAGTGAGGCTTGCCTTTCCTATGCAGTATTCATATCGGGTTCAGAGAAGGAGTAGCAGTGAATTTCCCTAGTAGTTTCGGTATAGGTATACTCAGATATACGTGTGTATATATACATATATACATATATGTCTATACATATATACATATATGTCTATATATATATATATATATATATATATTAAGTAAGTATGTATGCGTATATGTATATATGTATATATGTATATGTGTGTATATGTATATATGTATATATGTATATATGTATATATGTATATATGTGTATCTGTACATACGTACATATGTACATATGTATATATGTATATATGTATATATGTATATGTTTATATGTTATATGTGTATGTGGTATGTGTATGTGTATATGTGTATATGTATAGATACACATTATACATGTTTGTTTGTTCTTCAAATCTGTATTCGTTGGCTCTAAAGCCCTGTTCGGTGCAGGAGCGTGTGAGCAACATGGAGAGGACGGTTTGGGTGGTTCTGAGCTGTGTCCGGGTTCAGGATACGCGCGCCAGTGACTAATTTGCCCATTCCACTGCCAAGTGTCATACTGCAGAAAGAACAGCGGCTTTCAGTGGTGGCAGCTTCCGCGAATTCAATTTAAAGTAGCATGGCTAGTAGCATGCAGCGCCGACAACCATAATCACGATCTTCGCTATCGTCGTCATCATTATCAGAACGATCAGCCATTTCTGATTGCTGCATGGTTCGGCCCTGAGTAACCGGAGCAGGACCATCAACAGCATGAGGAGTGATGTTAGCACCATGGTTCACACCATGACGAAGCTTCTTGGCACTTTTGGGCTATGCATGCGTCTTGGGAAAACAGGGCAGACGCACAGGTGCTCAATGAAAAACAATGTGGACTCATCAGTGTAATCTGCTGACCTTCGTCTCCACACCCTTTGTAAAATACTCACGCTTCCACACCATGCGACCACACCTTTCTTTCCGAGGCTAAGCAACCTCTCGATGAGACCGAGCTCCCACTCCCACCACCAACATGGAAATCTCAAAAGAGCGCGGCGCCCAGCGTTCAGCGCGGCGCTGCCCGTGGTTCTCTATAGTCCCTCGTGCTTCTATGAGGGCGGGACTCCAGGATGTTTGGCATGTTGACCTGCTTGATTCCGAACGGTAGTCGTCTGACTCAGCTCACACGCAGCCGTGCTATCTGCTGGGTCAAAGTGCCAGCAAGCAGAAGCGGCAGAGGCTGGTGGCCTCTCAACAGGTGCTGTGTATCCCGCGACCCTTGCAATCTGGACACACAACAAGCAAACGAAAGCCTAGGCCGTTGCAGTCTGCCGTGGGCCGATCGGCAGCGGCGCTCTGGCAAACCACCCGTCGACGATCCTTGGCTCGTGGATCATCAGTTGTTCCTGGCATTCAGAGGGTTTGAAGCAAAGTAACGTTCAGCCGTGTAGGGCTGTAGGGTAGCATAAATCCATACCCACATGTCATCCGAAAGTTTAACAGTAGATAATGTCGTACCACGACGACCAGGGGGCTGCTTGATTCGAGCTGGGGTTTTGCTGCTGTCACACTATATACACCACCAAATCCGAAACCCGGTGAACCTCGAATCATCGATCGGCACTAGATCACTCCGCCATTTGAGGTATCAGTGTCTTTTCACATCGACATTATCAACAGGACGATCAGTCATGTGCAGAATGAAGCTTATGTAGTCCCCTGCTTAGTCAGCCCAGTTCCTGTCACAGGGCTGTACAAAATACTACTATGAAATCCTTTTAACCAGTGGGGTCCTCAAGTAAGTTGGGTTTTGATCAGGCCTCCCCATCATAGTCGTTGGTTGTGATTTTGATGGGGAAGCGATTGGATTTTCGGGCCCAGTCTCTTCTAAGAGAAGAGCTTCGAACAGCAAGCTGCCGAGCATTGGAATCCGGGGCGCATAACGTGGTCCTAGTTGTCCTAAGCCCTGTATGATGCGTTCAGTGATACATTTTCCGGTGACAGGTATGCTTTGGAGCTCACAGGTTTCATTATTCATTCCCATTTCATTTCGCGAAAAGCTGTAAACACGGAGCCACTTATTTACATGGCTAAGCGCGACTCAATACGAGCAAACACTGAACATCCCAAAGAGGGAGTCGTAGGCCCCAGCTGATAGAGTGGCTATTGCAGCACGACTCTCTTCTGTGAGCACCAATCTACATGTACAATGCTGTGGGAAGGGAAGCTGCAGGGTATGGGAGGCCCTCAACCCTACACCCTAGTAAGGAATTGCATTACTTTGGGCCTTGGCGCCCCTGACCATCCGGCTCCACCTGTCGCATCGCCGAGATAAGCATGCGTTAAACAGCAGCACATACAGCTTCAATGTCAATCCCCGAAGACCTCAACCCGATAACTGTAACCTCTTCTGAAGCTAAGGTCGAGCAGCACTCGCTTCTGACACGCTGAAGATGCGGCGGGGGCGAAGATGGGGCGAAGATGCGGTAAACTCTGAAGAATAGCTGGACTTGGTCATTTTTAGAGTACGTATAGGGTTAAGGCGCTGAGGTGCTTGTGAAGTGGGATTCAGGATTATCTACAATATCTAGGAGTGCAGGCACTGTACTCGCAGGAATCATGGCGTGGCATGGAACTTAAGTGGTTCCCCTTACCCAGTCATCACATTATCAGTCATTACATTATAAATCATAAGGCCAAGCTGGTAGTAGTGGTGGTAGTAGTAGTAGTAGTAGCAGTAGTAGTAGTGGTGATGGCAGCAGTGGTGGAGATGCATTGTGAGGAGTCTTGCAAGCTTCAGACTCCGCACTGTGACACGACCCCCTTCAGATTCCAGCCCGACTGGACTGATCCGTTGCGGATTTTTTGGGAGTTTCCGAAAATAGGGGACAGAAATCTAGTACCCTAAATAATAAGATTCTTATTATAAGGACCCCCCAAAATGAGGTACCCCTAATTTTTCGGAAACTCCCAAAATAGGCTTTTGGGATCTGGGGTTTAGGGGTCAGGCTTTACCTTAACGCCGAAGAACCTACCTTTTTAAGGACGCATATAAAGAAAGCATAATAAGGAACCCTACAAAGGTAGGTTATTCAGGGTTAAGGTAGAGTTTAGGTCTATGCGAAGCATCAAGGTCCCCCGGGAATTTCGCTGGCTGCCCGCAGTAATCTCACCCAGTCGCGAGCCCGTGCTGTGACTCCCTTTGCGGTTTCTCCACTTCATGTCGGGTCTATAGGACTCGGGCTTGCTATTACAGTCCCAAACCCGCAACCCAATGCTCCAGTGGAAAAGAGTCGTCTGTCACAACACCGATCTGAAGCTAAACCATTGAGGTTTAGCGTCTAAGACGGGGTTAAGGATTTGAAGATAGTGAACCAGGACTTTGAATTTCGTGGTACCAAATTCGGGTTCAGGGTACAGTACACTTGGCCACAGTCCCAATGATCATACTTACCTAACCCTCAAGAACCTGCCTTTGTTAAAGGACTTATGCAAGGAAATCATAATACGAAAGCCTAGGCAAGTCGGTTCTTCGGGGCCCACGTAAAGTTTACGATGCAAGGCAAGCCCAGGGAGGTGAAGCCGCTGCTTGCACGACACGGCACCTCGGCTCGTCCGCGCCGGAAACTCCGACGCAGAAGTCGCCTCTGCTTTCGAAGTTAGCGGGTCCTGGAACCAGTTTCCTAAACTCCTGAGCCTGACTGGTTCAGAGGTCTGAGCAAGTTATCCGCTGGTAGTCCCTACATACTATAGCTACAATACAAAATTACCTCCCAAGACCCTCCTCAGAACCATGCAATAACCCACAGAAACTTGGCAATCACATAGCCAGGATAGAGACCCTCACAGTTTAGAGTTCAAAGTAGGAGACTCCCCCCGAACCAAATGGGGTCTGGGGCTTGCGGCTTTAGAAATGGGATGTCCTATGCTTTGGGATGCTAAGTGGCCATATCGCATGGCGGGCTAGCAAGAAGGCAAGAAGAAGGAGAAAGCCGAGTGATGCAGGTTCCCCCCCCCACACACAGCTCATGGCCGGTGTAGCAGCTGTACCACAGAAAAGGCTGCGGCTGCAATCAGCACGATCAGCGGCTGCAAGTAGGACGAAGCACCAATAGTAGCGCCTTCTGGTAGGGGCATTTGCAAGTCACCCGTAGACAAAGTCCGGACACCTTTGATACAAGTATTGAGTTCCTGATTTCCGGGGCCCCGGGGTTAAATTATGAAGAAGGACGACGACGACGACGACGTTGATGATGATGGTGATGATGGTGAACATAAACATGATCACGCTCATGATGATGATGGTGATGATGATGATGACGGCGATGATGACGATAATGATTGATTATGATGTTGATGATTGTGGTGATGATGCTGATGTTGATGATGATGATGATGATGATGATGATGATGGAGATTGTGATTGTGGGTTCTTTCACTCCTTCATTGCGAAACGACGATTCACGGGAGGTTCGCTTGATCAAAATTTACGTAACACTATTCATGTTAAGTTTTTTTCGCTGCAGAGGGGAAGGCTTAGGGTGGGTGGCTTATGTATGATTGTTATCCCAATTTCTGCTGCAGGTGCTCCATGCGTCCTTGTGTCGTTGCTTTTCTGTCGTTCTGATCAATGTTACCGGTTCCACCGTTTGTCATCGTTTCTTACCACGGTTTGTCGTGACCAGCCCAATATTCGCAACATTTAAATATGTTTCCGGGAACCGGCGGCTGTTTAAGACAGCTATTTGCACGTGACTGGGACGCCATAGCACCAGTCAGCTTTCTGTGAGCTGCCACGGCACCTACCTGTGGTATGGGGTTTTGGGTTTGAAGTTCTTGTTTTAGGGCTTAGGACACAACCAATTTCCCATGCCACTGGTACCTGTCCGGGCACAAACAACACATGAACCAATCATATCCCATGCTTGAGGTGACGGCCCATGCTTGTTTGGGCTGGTTAGGGATCCTAAGGAGTAAGGTGCTTGCAGGATGTTAATTCCCGTATCCGTCGAGTAAGAATTGCTGATGTAATCGCCCAGGCAGCTCTTATGTTTTCGTAGCACAGCTGACGAAGTCAGCCACGGTGTAGCATGATTGCAGAGGCACTGACCGATGAAGATCAGAACAAAATGCCCATGCCGACCAGCCTTAGCCTCCTATTAAGCAGCCTGAGCACTTAATATAGAGGCCTGCATATTAATTACCGATACTGTTTTTTTGGGGATTCCTCATTATACTTATAGTATACCCGGCTCCCAAACCCTATTCTGACTATTAAGGCCCCTACATTACCAACATATGACATGTGGGACACCCCGACGCAGCCGTCTCGCTAGTGAGGCTCCTGTATCACCCCACCCTTCGGACCCTCCCTCCGAATCTGCAGCAGATGCACACCCAGAGACTCCAATATCACTTAGTTAGGGTATATAAATCACATTTGGGGATCCTACGATGTTTTGAGGTATATTCCTGAATCAAGGGATATTGGTTAGAAGGGGCCCCCACCCTGTAATGGTGGTATAATAGGAATATAATACGGCCCTAATATAATCCTTATAGTCACGATTACAGGGTGGGGGCAGCTTCTAAGATATTGGAGTCTTTCGGTTCGCAGAATACTGCTTGGAGGGTCGGGGGACGTAGTAAGTAGGTAGTAAGCAGACCTATAAGTACCCTAAAAGGGACCCTAATTGGGGTTATGGTACATATAAGTCCCTAAAATAACCAGTTGCTAAGTCCCCCGACCCTCCAAGTGGGGAGTCTTGGCTTCTAGACAGCCTTTTAGTGAATCCAACCTCGAAAGGCATGACGAAGGAGCGCCCCTTCCGAAAGGATATGTAGAGGGTTCAGGGGTTTTGGGTTTAGGGTTTTCGGTTTAGGGGGTTGGGGGTTGAGGGTTTAGGGTTTAGCCAGGATATGTAGAATTTAGTCAAGGTTCAAACTCTCACACCCTCGGGAAACCAACAAGAGCCAAAGCCCGAAGGAGCCAGTCGCGGCAAACATACCTCAAACCCTAAAACCCTGGAAACTCCAATAACACCCAAACCCTGAAATTGAAAACACTAGGATAAAACTACAACAAACTTCCAAATCCTGGACCAAAAAGAACCAAGCCCTAAAGCCTTCACCAAACCTTTGATGAACCCGAAGGACACAAGCAGCTACGACCCGCCTGCACGCAGCCGAAAGCTAAGCTGCTGTAACGGCCTGGAGGGCGTATCGTACGGATTGTTTTGGGGGTTAGGGCGGGTTTGAGAAGTGCAAGGTTCAGGTTCGGGGGTTTGGGGTTGAGGGTTTTGGGCTTTGGGTTTGGGCTTTTGTGGGGGGCCTTGGCATTCAGGGTTCTGTTCGTCCACACCGCGCCTGCGAGCAGACCTGGCCAGAAGAGAAGATGTCCAATATCCCATTGTGACCCAGAGCCCGAACCCCGTGCATCATCATAATATAGGGGCCTCTCAAAAATTGCCTATACTATTTTGGGGGTTCCTTAGAGTAATCATAGCATAATGGGCGCCAAAAACCTATTCTAATGATTCAGGCCCTTTTTTAAGCGGAGCGAGCTCCTACTGGCAGCTTTGATGAAGCTCCGTGTTGAAGCTGGTACGAGCTGCATACCTCACCTTTCCCGAACGATGTTAGGCACAGATCCTTAAACCCGAAACCACTGCTCTCAAATATCTGCGATCGGATCCGGGTTACAGGTGATTGAACCTCAGTTTGTGTATGGGAAGCAACGTGTGCCCCTGACTTGAGACCCGAAACCCCTAAGTTGGTGAAGCTCGTAAAGTGTGCATACACACATGCATACATGCACTAGGCAGGCAGGCAGACGGGCAGGCAGACAGACCATGTCAACTGGTGTGACTGTGAGGATGACGTAGACGTAGTCTAGCCGCCACGTCATTTCAGGACTAGCCTAATCTGGCCTGATAATTGAACTTGTGTGTGTGTGTGTCTCTCTCTCTCTCTCTCTCTCTCTCTCTCTCTCGCTCGAGTCCAGTGCAAAAATAACCCTCAACCACAAACCCTAAATCCTAAACGCCAACTTCTCCAAGCTCTAAATCATAAGCCATCACAAGTCCGAAACTGGAGGTCCTAAACCCCCCAAAACCCAAAGCCCCCTTATAGCAGCCCTTACAGAAATCCCTGAACCAAGCCGACATACGGCCGAAACCCCATTATTTTACGTACTTTTGGGGGTTTAGGTAGAGGCCCCATGGTAGTTCCTTTTTGGGATTACCCTATAGGGTTCTATATATGAACCCCAAAAAGGAACTACTTTGGGGCCTTTGGGTAGGTAACAGCTATTCCCCTTGCGTTGGCAAGGTCGAAGCCCCCGAGGTTCGCCGACACGCTTCGAGGGCTGGAGTTAGGATTTTGGGGAGCTACCTAGACCTACTAAACCCTACTTTTTTGTAGGTATCTTATGATAAACCCTAATATGGGATTTATAGGTACCTTACGAAAAAGCAGGTTTTGGTAGGTTAAGGTAGGGATGAGGGTTCGGGCGTTTCGGCTCGAGGGTTTATAGGGTTCTGGATTCTCGGTGCTGGGTTTAAGTGGTACAGGGTCTGTGGCGTGGAGGGTTCAGGATAGAGAGTATAAGGTTTGGGGTTTAGGGTGTAGGGGGCATATGTTATGAACTACCGTACAGATGAGGACAACGGTTGGGGTCATGCTATGCCGAGCGTGTGGCTGCGAAACATGCCATAGCTTCTTTCAGGGTTTCAGGACCATGAGACATGCCAAGGAATGTTTAGGGCCTGGCTTTAGATGTTCGGGTGCTAGTGGCCTTCGGTGGATGGTCGAGGAAGCAAATCATTTCGCAGAAGCGCCATGGCTCAGACATGCTCAGAACCTAGAGCGGTGTAGCTATAGTTATAACTACAAGTGTCACTATTTATGCGTGCAAGCCAATGTGGGGGGTAATTAACTTAAACCGCTGGAAGGCCCTCACCCTTGAAGCCCTAAGTTTCTGTACAAGCTCTACATCCTCCTCGAAACCCTCGCCCGAAACACAACCCCAACCTCAAAGCCCGAAGAGCGATCCATGAAGCGCCAGGCCATCGACAAGCGATCGGAGCCTCCACAGAAGGCGTGGCTGATTAGTGATTCGTTGTTCAGGGTTTACGGCCTACGGATCACGGTTTAGTGTTTGAAGGCTTGGGGGTTACTTTTTGGGGGCTCAACGTTTTCGGCTTGGGGCTTTAGGACCTTAGGCTCAGAGTTAATGGCTAGGATTTGTTGTTCTGTTCCGCAGTGCACAGCCAAACAGAAGCAAGGGCCGGCTAAGGGCATATAGGACATAGGATTTAGGGTTTACGGCCAAGCTTAGGTTACACCAAGGAGTTGCCTAATGTGCACAACAAATGGTATCTCATCTCGAGCAGTATGGGGCCATGACCTGCATGCACACTCGACAGCTTCTGCCGTCCCTTGTTTCCTAGCTCAGAACAGCATAAACATTCATCAGCGAGCAGCAGCTTCATATGTGTATATATATATATATATATGTATATCTGTGTGTATGTGCAGATGGGTTGACACCGCGTCGACAGTAGTATGCTGCCTGTGGACTCATCCTGCTGTGTTCTAGCTAGATGCAGGCTTCAGGTGCGGGTTCAGAGTTTAAGACGAAAGTGACTAAAGGTCTCAGGCTCTACCCAGAGGCCCCATGGTAGTTCCTTTTTGGGATTACCTTATAGGATTCTATATATGAACCCCAAAAAGGAACTACCTTGGGGCCTTTGGGTAAGATTCTTTCGATTCGGATGGGCGAAGTAGAGTGGGCAATTGACTTGGAAGACGCGGCCAGCTTATCTTCTGCCACGTTTTGGTCACGTGTACTTACAGGTTCATGGGACTTAGTAACTGTGGTTATAATGAATAAGGTAAGTATACTTATAGTCGGATATAACCCCACTTAGGTTACTTATAACTGTACTTACTAAGTCCCATGAACCCCCAAGTAGGACTGGCTGCTTGTTTGGGTTTTCGAAGATAGTACGAAGCGAGACCCGGCCGAAAGCTGGGCCGTTTTCTTTCTTTCCTAACAGGGACGCAGGTGATTTAGGAAGAGAGTCAAGATACTAGGTTTTGCTGCTGTGTTGGGATTGGATTTTGTGCCGGTTCGTAGGGCCCGGCTTTCGTTAACATATGGCTAGGCGGCTATTTTGGGGGCTCCTTATTATAACTATAGTATCATAGGCCCCAAATATTCGAATAATTCAGGCCCCAAAAATTGTTGTCGCTGTTTTCGTAGAATTTCGTTGTAAACGCTTCGCATCGTCCACCCCGGCCCGGTCGTCAGGGCCCAAGCAGCAGCTTCAGAGGGCACAAAACGGCGAATGTGGGCTATATAGTTAGAAATTGCTATATTTACTATAGTTACTATAATTGCTATAATTACGAGTGGGGGGCGGGTTTTTGAGTCATGGCGGTTCGCCATCAGAGTCTCTGGTGGAAGAGGGAACCTCTGCCCCCTGTTGATCCACCCTGTCTGCAGGCTATCGGCCGTCTTCAAAGCAGACAGTCTGCCACTCAAAGATGTAGTCCGATGAAGCTGGATGTCGATGATACAGTGGGCGTTGGGGCATAGACTATCCCGGGATCAGGGTACATCATGATGCATAAGAAGGGAAGGCTCGTCGTAGTTGGTTGCACGCCTCCTCACAAGGATCTCTACTACTGATAAAATTTCGAAATTTCGGGGGCTCTTGTCACCATGCCAAGTGGCGAGTTTCGCGCAGTAAACCGTAAGCACTCTCAGCGGGCCCAAGGAAGACAAGCATGTCGCGGGATCAGAGCAAGTACCACAAGAACAGAATGCCGTAAGAGTTCCGGCGACTTGCATATATGCTTATAACCTTGAGGTCCTAGCCGTTGCTCCTACACGTGGTTACCACCATTCCCAACTGTTGCACGAGGCAGACTGAAATTCGATCCGTTCCGAACATGTGAGAATATGAACTTCTAGGCCGAGCTGCTTTTCAACTATTTTACACGAGTTTGCAACATCGCAGCTCTTCCTCCATTGTCATTATAGGTACGAGTTGGGTGATTGTCAAAATTAGGCCCCCTTTTCGGGTACCCTAAACATTAAATTAGATGCCGTATTATAATGAGGACCCCAAAAGGAACCCTAATTTTGACAACCGCCCAGTTATGCAAACAGCATGTCAGCAACGGTTGCACAAGATCGGGCCCAGCCCTCGGATATCTCAGCGGCCCTGCCCTTCACGAGCTAGTGAGTCCCGTTTGGGGCCCCTGACATCCCAAAGGGTCCTATGTCAGGTCCTATGTACCGATATAGTAGAATGTAGGGTTTCCATATTAGGAATTACTACTATGGCTTAGGGAAGTATTCCCCATAACAGTACATAGGACCCTTTGGGATTCCTCATTCAACCTGGCGCCCTGAATCAGAAGCCTTCCCCAAAGCTGTTTTTCCAAACGCTCAAGTTCTCAGGCCCAGTACCAGGACTATAGATATGCCAGAGCCCAAGGGTGCGGCGTTGACTTTGAGTCTTAGGGCTTCGGTTACATCTCGACGTGATCGAATGACTTCATTCCGGGAGCTGGGGCCTCCAAGATTGGGATGCGGATAATACGGGTGATTGCAGTCCTCTACATGCTTGTGCTGCTGTTCTACAGAGAGACGGAGGGTCCTAGAAAAGGCGAGGACACTCTCCGTCATCATTTCGATACACTTCCTTTACTTCAAGGACTAGATGTCTTCATCACTTTGGTGGTCGAACAGGTACGGTGAAGTCTTTTATGTGAGAGGAGGGAGGCCAGACCGACAGAAACCACATAGGTAGTATTTATAAGTTCTGTAATATTTGCATTGCTTAGATGTTTAGAAATGCCCATGTTCAAAGTCACCGAAACATCGGCGAATGCGCTTTTTCTCGTGTGTCACGAACTGTCCGAATCACAAACTGGACTGGAGTGCATCAGTCTTCGTCGGCGCATGCCGGAACTCATTACCTCAAATTAGATGGCCGCGCCGGTGGAAACACTGTTTGCCGTAGGGAGAGCTGTCGACCTTCCATACACTGAAGTAGCTTTGCAACTCCGTCAATGTAGCAACATGCAGGTTGGGCAGTTCCCGGATTGTGCAATGCGGTGCTCTTGCCATGTTGAAGACGTACTCAAGTTCCAAGACGAGGGCGGCACGGCGGAGTGGGAAGCACGGGACAATGGCCGTGGTGCAACGTAGCTAGCATGGACAGGGCTCCATGCACCACTAATTCAGCAAATGAAGTACAAGCCCTTGTCCTCGCTCTCAATACAGACGTCCATGGGACAGCATTTTCTTCCACAACTATCCCCACCATGCGTGAGCACAGCATGCACCACTAGACCGGAAACCCGGGACTCTAAGACCCTGAAGCCCCACTGCAAGACCGTAAACCGTGTTCGTTCAGCCCAATCTGCCGAGGAGGCCAATGATCAGTCGAATCAGTGCTTAGCTCCTCGCTCGGCAGAGGAGGCCGAGCAGCAGCGGCTACAGGCAGGATTGTAGCGTGGTGGGTCTAGGGGTGAGGACGGGTGAGGGTTGGGGTGCAGCCGAGCACAGCTTTGGGAGGGGTATCTGAAAACTAGAATTGGTGATTCTGCAGGTCTTAGTTAGTTGCGGTTCTGGAAATTGCGATCCCCATTCTAGGGGATCTTTATGGTGCAGTAGAGCAGTCTGTAGCAGAGGTCCTTTATGTTCGCTGAAGGACGTGTGCGTGGAAGCTACATGGATAAAGGGTTTTCGGGGTTTCGGCCAGGTTCTTCCGCAACCCATGATATAGTTCTCGATAGAGCGAAATCGTATGTTGTCGCAGTCTAGTACTGGCGTAACTTCCCCAGCAGCTGGTGCTGGTGTTCAAATGCTCAAGACCCAATAAGCCACTGAAAGGAAGCCCTTAGAGGATCTCTTTAGAGGAACTATGATACGACCAATCAAGGTTAAAGGAGCGCTGTTCTCATGCTCAAGATGCAATATCACGACCCTGTCCAGCCACACTTCGAGCTTCTGATAGGGTTTAGGGTTTCAAGGTTTAGGTTGAAGGGCCTGAGGCTTCGGGTTACCCATAGGCTCCATAGTGGTTCCTTTTTGGGGTTCATATTTAGAATCCTATGAGGTAATCCCAAAAAGGGACTACTATGGAGCCTCTAGGTAGGCTCTGCAAATTTAGGTCATGGAGCAATGGCAAGCTTAACACATCTTACAAACCAGACCTTGGCACGTAGTCCTGCACTTCAAGTCCCTATGAAGGCCCTATGAAGCCTCCCATCGCCCCCCAGGTTTACGTCTAGGGCCAAGCTTTCAACCCTGCCGGTGAACCGTCCGCAGGTAGCTGACTTCCTCAAAAATGGTCTGCAGGACGATATCGTGCTTGGCTCTCAGCATACAGCATGCAGTTTCTGGTTTCCTCGGGCATGGACCTTGGACTTGGAAGGATATGTGGCGAAGTTATGCTAAGTCACGCAAGTTATATTCAGTTGTGGTTTTCGCAAACATTGAGCATCACAGTCTCTACGACCACGACCACGATTGCCATAGGAGCTCATAGTCGTCTCCGCAACGTAATGGGAGCAAGCAACCCCTGAAGTTCCGAGCCGCAAACCGTAGCTACCGGAGCCCTTAACCATAACTACCACTATCAGAACTCTGGACTCCCAATTAAACATCTATCCTCAGCGCGATTTACGCTGAGGCTTGACAACAAGGCCAAGGACGAGCTGCTTAGAATACCTCCTCATGAGGCCAGGGTCTAGAGAGTTTCTTTGTCATAGCTGGGTAACACTTTACATGTTTATGGGCACTTAAACCCAATAAGGAAGGAAAATGTACATGTTTAATCCTATCCCAACGATGAAGTAGGTTTGAGGTCGCATGAGATGGCAGGAGGGGTTGGGGGAAGGTCTGAAACTCTTGGGTTTCCGATCTGCACCAGAGTTCGGGGGTTTGCAGCTTCAGCGCCTACTAATACCATTGGGCGGGGTTCCTTATTATACATATGGGTGGTTGTCAAAATTATGGTCCCTTTTTGGGTACCCTAAATACAGTACTAGGTTAATAGGTGCCGTATTATAATACCCACCCAAAAGGGGACCTTAATTTTGACTACCACCCACATATAGTATTTTGGGCCGTGAAATTCTACTGAAATTATTAAGGTCCGTTGGCCTGGGAATTGGGTCTAAGGTTTCGTTTTGCTTCGTGCTGAAGACGGGATCCTTTTGATGGAACTTCCTGACGGTCACACGGCCCCACACGGGCGTCTTTATGGCTCTATGGGTGTTGCATTGCTATGGTGATATTGGGGCTATACGGACCATTGCTCCGTTTCTGTCATCATGACGACTTTACGACTTGCACGGCGGTTACGAGGGTTTTGCGCTGTTCACCGTGTTCATTCTTCTTCAGGTGCAGTTGAGACTGCGACATTTCTTCGGGATTCCAGCGGTATGATGTTGTCCAGAGGCACTGGCACTTTCATGCATATGGGAGTTTCCGTACCCTAAATAGCACGATCCTTACTATAAGGACCCCGAATAAGGTACCCCTATGATCGATCTTGGTCGAGTAAAGTTTGATGGCAATACCGGTGTTGGCGATGGTCGCAGGTCGCGGTGGCTGGTAATTTGCCACCGCCGGGCTCCGTTTGATGGTTTGATGCGGCTGCTGATGACAGTGATGCTGATGATGGTGGCTGTGTGCATGATATTTATTGTCATGGCAGATCATAACGTGGCTCTCATTCCGGGCCCACAGCATGTATCTTAAGCTATACGCTGTTAGTAAACCTACACCTGGTCGAAGTGCAAACGCTTGAGCGCAAACGCACGCACGCCGGCGCACCCGCGCACCACCCAGCCACCCAGCCACCCAGCCACCCACCCACCCACCCACCCACCCACCCACCCACCCACCCACTCACACCTACACAGAGGACACACAAACAAACAAACACACACACACACACAAACACACACAAACACACACAAACACACACACACACACACACACACACACAAACACAAACACACACACACACACACACACTTACCCCAAAAGCCTCGCTTGCTTATGGCAGGCCATAAGCCTCATGCTGAAGCTGACGGCGAATGACATTAGGCACCACCGCGGCCCATTTCAGAATTTGGGGCTCTTAGGCAACCGCAGAGTAGAGCAGTTCTGCATTGTAGTTCTGCATATGCTCAAGACGGCGGAGAACTGCAGATCCCATGTCACTGTCCAGGGTTTAGGGTTTAGGGGTTTAGGGTTTAGGGGTTTAGGGTTTAGGGTTGATCTCAACCCCCACACAGGTTTCTGCACGCCTGAGTTTTCCCGGTCCTTAGCGACCCCAAGAGCCAGTTCTTTGGGAGACTGGCGGCCCCCTACCTTAACCCCAGGTAACCTACCGTTTGAAGGACTTATATAAAGAAATACTAATAGGGAACCCTAAAAAAGGTAGGTTCCTGAGGGTCCAGGTAAGCCCTGCAGGCCGAAAACTCAAGCCTGATTTCTGCTCCCTCTGGGCATTTCGTGACGGTGAGGGGATCGCCTTGGAGCTCGAGTCCCGAAGCGCTACTAAAGCATGGTGGCTTACACTCCCGAAAGACCATCCCTATTGTGGCTTTGGGAGTCTAATTCCATAATGGTGGTATATGTGGAGCTCAGAGTGCGAACTTGTTTGAGTCTCAGGCTCTTGGCATGTATCCGTTGGTCAGCATGGTTCCACATGTTGTTTCACATGCTTTAGAATCGCTGTAGAACCGCATAAATCACTTGCGGACCATCCAAGATTCTTATCCCGCAGACCCGCCGAAGAAGGTGACCTAATTCTCCTTATATAATTCTATTTAGCCTACAGTCTGGCGATTACGGCGCCTACAGCAGACATCTGCTTGCAGGAACCCCTCCGCCTTTGTCACGAAGGCGTGTAGGGAGGTGCCTGGCCGTGTTTGCACGTCAGAAAAGCAGCCTTTCGCATCTCTGGGGGGCTCTCTAACCTCCATATAGTCTACGGTCTGGAAGGCTCTGTAACAACAGGGTCAATTTGGGGGTCGTCTTAGAGGATCTGCTGCGTAACGAAAACGGGACCCTCGCGGATGACGGCAGCTTGTCCTGTTGGAGTAGTGCGGACGGCGTGGCCAACATCAGGTGCTTCCTCAAAGGCCCTGGTGACCGAGTAAGTAACTCTGAACAGTTGTTGTCGGCAGGGTGGCATGCAATGCTACTGAACACCCAAAGATTCTCAAAGATTTGACGAACAGTTCGCTTGCCGCCCACTACCGAAAGCCGAAACTTTTAACCATGAAAACCCAAGGCCATCCCGAACTGCGGGGCTGCGGAGGGGGGGGGGGCTTACAAGCACCTAGATTAAGGGCTACTCATGAAGTTCGGCTTATGGGAAGTAGCAATGATCGTCTATATATACATATATATATATATATATGTATCTGTGTGTGTGTGTGTGTGTGTCTGTGTGTGCACGTATGTTTACATACATATGCATGAAACAAGGCCTGACAGGGTCCAGGGCCTTGGGTGTATGCGCTCCCGGCCAGATCTTGAAGCACGTGGACAGTGATCCCTATGCCAAACAGGCCGCGCTGTCCTGTAGTTATAGAGTTGTGGGTTACTTGGGGATTGTCCTGGGCCTATCGGGTTGTTTAGGGAATCACAAGAGGAGCTTCAATGACTCGTCTCATGTCTCTAGGTCGTCACCCGGCATTCTCAGAGTGCGCAAGACCCCAGTCCAACAATGCCGTCGTCGGGCCTGTGAGTCCCCACGGCCTTGGCAGAAATCGTGATGTCAGGGCGGACAGTTGCATGTACAAGAATGAGGGAGGGAGGGAGGGAGGGCTCCGAAACACCCTGCCCTTGCGAAAAGCATGGTGGACGCACAGTCTTGCCGCTCCCCTCACGTGGACATGAACTACAAGGGGTACTTTGAAATACTGATTCCTTGATGAGTTTCGTCCTTCCTCTCCCATGCAACCCACATGCTATAGTCGCGTACCAACTCAGAAGCCTCTTTCATGTGGTGGGTGGAACCTAGGACCTAGCAGTAGAGTAGGCAACCTTTAACCTTTTTCGGGTAGTATAGTCCCTATTCAACCCCTAGTTCACAAAAAAGGTTAACCTTTAGTTCCCCATGATACCCGACAAGTGGGGGAACGGGGTCTATCGCCGGGGTCCAGCGCGACTGGACTTATGCCGCTTATGCCGAATGTCGTGCTGGAATCACAGGAGTTTCGCCTTTCGTTTGTTGAGCACTTGCTTTTGCCAGCGTACATGAGTGCAGTAATACAGGTTGTTCCATATGCATGACACAACGAAAGTTTGCTGGAAACCGTTTTGTTTTCCTTGCGCATAGGAGCCACTTCTACTTTTTTCTACTACCTCCAGAGCCATATTATGAATCTGTCCCCTTTAAGGAAATGAAGATTCTCAGCACTTGGTGATAGAGCTGATGGCCCCCGAAGGAGTCGAAGAGCCCTATTGGTAGCGTGGTGCGCGCTGAGGTTCCGTTACAGTTCAGATGATGTTGCATACAGCACATTGCGAAGAAAGTAGGAGTAGGGTTTCCGGGTCCACTCGAATCACTTAGGGCTAGGAAGCATTACCGATGCAGACCCCATACTGCTGTCGGCATCTCCCGGCATTCACACACGCACGCACGTTCATTGGGGTGGCGATGTGGGTTCGGAGCATATAGTCACTCCGGGCATGGAAGCCGCAAACATACCAGTTGATGGTTTAGGGCTTTCCACACAAAGATAATGTGCAGCAGTGCTGAAGACTTACCCCCGTGCACCCTCTAACGAAAACCTGGCTGTAAAACCCGCAATCCATCACACCCTGCCCTCTATCAAACGCCCTACCGTAAGCCTTTAACCCTTTTTCAAACAGCATGGTAAAGACCTCTTCTGCCCAGCAGGCAGCCAACGGCCATGACGCCGAAGGCCGGACAGGCGTTGAGGCTTCAGGGTTAATGTCGGGCTCAAGTTGCAAGATGGTATACTACTATTTGCTTAAGAACCACACAAAAAATAAAAAATATATTCTTTATGGGGGTAATATAGGGATTATTATTTTTATTTTTTGGGGTTTCTTAAGCAAATAGTAGTATAGTAATCACTAGAAAGGGCTTAGGATTAGGATTTAGGATGCACGGATCGTAAGGACTAGACAGGGAACCGAGTATGAGCACCGTTATCCCTTGTGGTCACTATTGGTGGGCTTACCTGATGCAGGCCCCCGAGTAATGGTCATTTGGTTTGTTTGAAACTCATTTTCAGAATTCCTGCCGTTGACTTCTTTACAGGAAGCGGTTCTAAACAGGCACGGATTTTCGGTGATCCTGGAGGGCCCCATGCCAAACCACGCACATGAGCCCCACAGGCTTCCAGCTCTGCGGACACTGAAGGCGCTGAATATAAGCCCGAACAGCCTAAGCATGAAGCCTGCATAGGCCTAAGCCCGTTCAGAAGAGCTTTCAAAGCCTTGAAATCCTAAACCCCTGATCCCCCTTAGGTAACCCGAGCTAAAGCCCTAAAGCTTTAAAGCCCTAAACCCTAAACCCTAGAGTCAATGCACTTAAAAAAGAAACCCTAAACCCCACCTTAACCCTGAATAACCTACCTTTTTAGGGCTTCGTATTATGACTTCTTTATACAAGTCCTTAGAAAGGTAGGTTCTTCGGGGTTAAGGTAAAGCCTTAAGCCTGAGCCCGAACCCCAAAAAAAATGGCCTCAAGACAGGTCCAGGATCGAATGAGCGGTCGCAGTCGAGGCCCAGAAGCCTCCGATCTGTCGAGGGCTCCCATGAAGGGTTCCCTACAACGAGTTCTACAAGACATTTAATTTAGGTTTTTTGTTTTTTGGCAAAAATAGCAAAAACCCTAAGCCTCAAAGAAGTCGATGGTGCTTGTCCGATGTGTTTTGGGTCCGTTTAGGCCGTGTTTAAGCTGGGCTCAGAGGCTGTGGAGTCAAGGGCTTAGAGGGTTTGGTTTAGGGTTTCGGGTTCACCCTAAACCCTAAACCGAGGGTTCAGGGTTTTGGGCCTCAGGGCTTGGTCTTTGCCTCTGCTGGCACGAATCGTTGGTGACTCTAGGGGCATTCAGGCCCCGATATTACGCTTCTGGAGATCCTGATTCCTCGGATTTTGGAGCTCACGGTCCCCATACCTTAAACCATGCTAAACCCCTACCTAGACCCCCCAAAGTAGGTAAAATAATGGCCCAAAACCTCGATTCGTGGTCATGCCTGAAGTGCTTGGGGGTACTTTGCTTGCCACCGTCTCGGTCGCAGCTGGCTTAAAAGACCCTTGTCCATTGACATTAGGGTTATTTAGGGTTTAGGGTTTAGAGCTTATAGGGCTTAGGGTTTAGGGTTTAGGGTCCTAGTCCTGGATAAGGTGCTCGAAGCACTCTTCCGTTCACCCGATGGAATCCGATGCAACCGTTATACAACCCAGTAAAGCCTTACACAATCCCAGAAATCCCTCATACTATCCAACCCACACCCTATACAATCCAATAAACCACTCACAGCAATCAGTAAAACCCTCACAGAACATTCTATGGTAAACGCAACTTTCCTGACAGGAGGCCGTCTGCCCGAAACCAGGCTTGGATCGTCCTTGGAGTCTGCTTCGGGCGTAGGGTTGTAGGGTTGCTTTACAGCCTCTGTCAAAGGTTCCTTTAAGGGTTTTCCTTTTCCAGGGTTTCTATATGAGGGCCGATAATGGGGGAGCTCTTGTGTAGGTTCGCTATTCTTGGAGCTGCGTTTTTTCTGGCAGTGGAAGCATTTCAGCTTTCACAAGTGCGGCATTGAAGTGGGCCTCCTCCGACGGTGGGCACATGAGCTTGGCTTAGGGGTTTAGGGTTCTAAGAGCCTGGGGTGACTGCTCTCCATAGTGCAGAGTTCACTGCAACGCCGAACTTCCAGGCCCTAGGCCCCACCGCCTAGGGTTTAGGGTTTAGGGACTGTGCTCGGCCAAGACAGACATAAGGGGCCACAACATGGAGCCTGGATAGCAAGCAAGGGTGGCCTGAGGCCCTGAAACTGAGACGCCGCGGCAAATCCCAAGCCCCAGGCCAAGAAGCGACTAAGAAACACGGAGCCCAGAATCCTTCAATCCACGTTTAGAGCAGCACTCTAAACCCTAAAACCCTGAACCTCAGCCCTTGCCAGGCTGCCTATGGCGACAATGCCGCGGCTTCCTCGGCCCCTTGCCTCGTATAATAGGGTTTAGGGTGTAATGTTCGCGTGTAGTATGGGTTTTGGTTGAGGACTTATTCCGGGCGCATATATATATATATATATAAATAAATTAAGGCTTGCAGAATTCAGGGCTTGTGCCGACGGTTTAGGGTTTGCTGTTGGTTCCATTGCCGCAAAGAAAAACCCGCTGTACCTGCCTTGGTTGAGGCAAAAGTTGCTGCATTACCAGCGTGTTCCCATACGAGTGATGGTCATCAAGGTCAAAGCAGCGACAACACTAGCAGTGGTAGCAGCAGCAAGCACAGCAACAGTAACGGCAAGAGGAAGCTGTACGACAGCGACAGATGCAACTAATTAAGCTGCAACAACAATGGCTTCATGCTACTAGACGACGATGAGGACGACAAACGAATCGTGTGATAACTATTAAGGTTACGACGAGTATGACTGCGACTATTACTCTTCCGATGAGGGTTACGGGGCTGCTAAATCCACTGCGAGTTCCTCAACCCAGCATTGCTGTGTAAATCCGGCACCCTCTGTGCAAACTCCATTGCGAGGAGTGGCGGTCCATGCCCTTGGATCAGTGGTTGCGAAGTGTCGACCATGGCCGCTCGGACTCGGTTGATTTCAGCTCCGGAACGCAATGCCCACAGTAGGGTCTTGGGGAGCAGGACCTTGATAGGATCTTTGAAACTCTCTTACAAAATTACGGTCCCTTTTCGGATCCCTATTATAATACGGCACCTGATATGTAGGGTACCCAAAAAGGGACCCTAATTTTGACAACCACCCACATGTTCGGGAACAGTGTGAATAAAAGCGCCCCCAGGCCCGAGAAGTAACTCTGCCTGCTCTCTGCGCAGGATCGATAAAAAGGCACCCATCATAGTGTAGGGGACTAAATAATTACCAATACTATTTTTCCTTATTATAGTTATAATATAATGGGCCCCAATACCCTATTATTAAGGCTCCTGTATGATAGGTGAAGATCATTCATAGGAGGCCAAAAGGGGTTTTAGCCTATGGGGGTTTAGTAGGGATTAGGGTTCCGATAGTAGGGTTACTATTAAGGAATCCCTACCCCAAGAATCTTAACCCCCCCTTTTGGCCTCCCATCAATCATATGTCATAGGTGAAGGTCGGTCGATACCACGGCCTTCCGTCTGCGTCTGATTGTTGAGGACTTGGTTATTGGTTTCTGACTGGAGGCTTTCCTAGACCCGAGACCCTAAGCCTAAACGCTAGACCCTAGCCTAGACCCAAGTGTGGGACCGGACCGGAACAGCCCCTGCCCTCTTCCGGAAAGATTCGACTGCAGATAGGCCCGCCAGCTATACTATGACTACGGAGATCTCATTACACATGCAAGGATTCAACATAACATGAGTCTTTCCGAAATCACTGTGCCCATGCAAACAGAAGACCCTATGAAGTAGAACCGCTTGCTATACATAAGGTCCTACTATGATCTTGTTATTGGTTCTAAACTCAACGTTTCAGCCTTTGGGTTTCTTATAAGGTAGTCGATTCTGAAAGTTTCAACTTTTGTTTCCTTGGGTTTTGGGCCAGTGAGTCTTCTTATTCGAGTATCCCTGAAACGTAGCCCCTGTGGTGGTATTGGATCCCCAGTCCACCTTCCACCTAAACCTTACAATACAGTGGCCTTATCTAATTACCTATAGTACATTTTTTTGGATGTGGGGGGGGGCGGTCCGCATTATAATTTTAGTATAGTACACCTGAACCCACTAACTATTCGATTTATGAAGGCCGCTGTTTAAAAGCCTAAGCCCACCCGGCAGGCAAGGGCTTCCTTCTGCAGTGTCCCGGCTGGCAGTTTAGGATTAGGGTTCATTGTCCCCATATGGGTGGTTGTCAAAATTGGGGTCCCCTTTTGGGTCCCTAAAATAATACGGCACCTGTTATTTAGGGTGCCCAAAAAGGGACCCTAATTTTGACAACCACCTATATAGCGACCCTGGATGAAAGACCTCGGATCCACTGCACTGCAAGAATCCCCTTCTTCAAGGGGCGTCCGGTACGGTAGAGAGCTCAACTTGTGTGCTACTTGCCCGTAGCCTCTGCTAGCACTTGCAGACCTCGGTGTCTCGAGCAGAGTCACACTTTCTCATTCATTGCTATCACAAGAACAACACATAAGGCGGTTCACAAGAACGGGTTGCAAGAATCAGACCATTCTCACAAGCCGAATCCTCAGTCGTGCTTGAACTTGGGCCTAAACATCTGCCCCTTGCAGGCGTTCTTGGTTCGTGCTCCTTTCACCCTGATTATGAACGATGAACCTTCAGTAGAACTCGTCGATATACCAAAAGGCCAGGAATATATATATATATATATATATATATACACATAACATACATATATATATATATATATATATTGAAACGCAGATACATTAATGGTATGTTGCTTCTTTCTCTGAAGATCGCGAGTCGCATTGTGTCAAGAGGTATGAGCAAGCCCTGCAGTCCAACTACGACACGTTGGAGCAGGCTCGTACTGGATCCCGCCCCGAATGTTAAAGCCAAACCATGGGCTCGGTAAGCTGTCAGTACTATAGGGCCTAAATAATTCAATTACCATTGCTATATATATATATATATAATATATATATATATATATGTTTTTTTTTTTTTTTGGGGGGGGGTGGTTACCTTGTTATAGTTAAAGCATGATGGGCCCCAAAACCCTACTCTAATTATTATTTGTATTCTTATTATTAAGGCTTGCGGACATGGAGTTCAATAATTGGTGGATCGCTTGTAATCGTGCTTGTACTTTCACCACAGTCACAATGTAATGCTCTCCAGCATCGGCACCACCGACATCAGCCCCCACAAGGATTAGTGCGTCGATCTGTGTTCGATTTGACTGATTTAGTTTCTCATGCGCACGGAGTACTTCCTGTGCTCAATGTATCTGTCCCAGAATCTTGGAGCGACCATGAGGACGGTTCGATTGCACTGGCTTGGATCATATGCGTCCTTATGTGAAAGTAAACGACAGGCCAAGCAGAAAGCTGCCTTGAGAGGGAAGAAGCATGGGACAGCCGCTGGTACGGTTGTAGCCAAGGGTGAAAATGCTTGCCGGGAGGTGCTGAATGACTCTTCCGTGTACTTTGCAGTAGTGGTATAGGGCTTGAGCTTTGCACTGCAGATCATGGACCTCTATGTCACGACTGGCGATGATGGAAAAGCCACCATTGACCAGCCACTTGGCAGAGAATGGAACATGCTAGTGGCACTTTGCGAGCACTTGACCTTCTAAACCTCACATCCCATGAACAATACGGATATTCGTCAGAGCACGAGACATCATTTCATTTTCACTCCTACCATGCGGCTTCCGCCAGCAAGGATTACTATATTTTGGGGAGCTCCGTATTAGGAATACAACGACCCCATAATCTAAACCCAAAATCTAACTCTGAACCCTGAATCTAACTCTAAGCCCGTAGTCTAACCCTCAACCCTAAATCTAACTCTAACAAATCGCCGGGACCCCCAAGCTTACCTTGGGTTAGTAGGGAATGGAGGAATGGGGTACAATTATTAACTACTAGTACTACCATTCTCCCATTCCCTACTAACCAAAGGTAAGCAAGAAGTACTGAGCACCGAGTAGACCAAGGCAGTTCTTCTCGGACCTGAGCGTGGAGAAGGCCTCTGGTGGTTTGGGCAAAAGGGTTTTAGGGTCCCTAGGCTACAAGGGTTTCCATAAGGGTACTATAAGGGGTTTAGGGGTTAGGGGTTTAGAGTTCAGGGGTTTGAGCGAAAGGGGTTTACAGTACACTCCATAAAGTTGGAAACCAGATTAAGGCCGAATAGTGCTGGGATTCCCTATATATTACTTTTAAGGATTGAGGCTATTTGGTTTCCAACCTTTGGGCTTCTACTGTAGGGGTTAGGGGTTTAGAGTTCAGGGGTTTAGGGTTTCGGGGTTTAGAGTTTAGGGGTCAGGGGGTGAGCGGTTTCGAGTTTAGGGGTTTAGGGTCTAGCTTTTTGTGTTGAAGGGTTCCGGGTATAAAGGCACAGCATCGCTTTGTTGAGCCACGCGCGCCCGATGGCTGTCTCCGGGAACGTGATGGATGCTGACCACCTTACTATGGACAAGCTTCCACCAAATCTCCTTAGGGTTGCTCAGTAATTATGACTTCGCGATAGGAGTATGCCCCCAAACCCTATTCGAATCACGAAGGCTCCCATATCGCACACACCCTAAGCCCTAAACCCATCCTAAACCCTCACGCCTTAAAGCCCACTTCCCTAAACCGCCGGAGGCGAGCTCTGGACCCTATGCATGCTGGATATTGGAGAAAGGGCTACTGCATCTAAAAAATGTAACCGCCGGAGGTTGGCCACAAGCGGCTCTTTGAGAAGTGGTTCAATGAGCACCGGGATGAGCTGCTCTAGTGGGCCCAGGCACGTTGCATCCGGAGATTTTTGGCTTAGGTTTACCTAAAACCCACCCCAAAGTAAGTAAAATAATGGCCCAAGACCTATAAAAAGGCTGTTATTCTAGGGGTCCAGGTAGGGACTTTTTGGAGGTTTAGGCTTTACGGTGGAGCAGCTGAGGCCTTAAAGTAGCGGTGGTGGTGGTAGGCGGGGCGGCGGTGGCGCCAGAGGTAGAATCCTGGAGAGCCTTGAAAGACGGAATACACACGGCAAGCTTCACGCTGATGAGGGTCCGATGACAAAACAGCGATACTAAACCCTGCCACGTGAGCTCCGTCGTCCTGAATCGAAGCCCAGCTGAGACACACTGCCATGTGCATGGCAAGGTGTCCTGCGTCGAAAACGGCTCCGAGTGACCCCGAGTTTCGAGTCTCGGGTCCTCAGCCGCCGTTGTACTCACATGAGTAACAAACACGGTTCTGGATCCAAAAACCGTTGGGAATGAACGCCTCTTCAAAGACTCTTCAAGCATCGATGCATGCAAGGTTCATGAAACTATCGACAGCTCTCCCAGCATCCAAGGATGACCGGGTGTACTTGTGCAGTTTCATGCTATCTACTAAGTGAGTCTATGACCTGATGCTAAGTTCTCGAAAATTGTGCACTTTGACATGCATCTCATCTTGAAAGGAAAGAAAAGCATCGAACACCCTGTTCTAATTATTAAGGCCCCTATAGTATCGCCACAAGCACTGCTATCGAACATCCAATCATACTCAAGCCGGCTGAGTGCCGTAGATGCTGATTTCAACAGCTGGCGTGACTGCGTCCGCCGTCCGGTAGCTCTGCTTGCCGCTAGGCTGCTCCTGAGAGCACAGCTTAAGTCCAGGCTCGCCCGCTTGGGACCTATAGGATACAAGTTCGAGCGTGCATCCGGCCGGACCGAAATGCTTATTAACGAGTACTGTAACCACTTGTGAATGGATTCTTACGCCGGGGCGGAGAGGGATGGGAGGTTGCGTGGCGGAAGCGGCAAGTGTAGCATTTTCGCCAACCAAGCGCGAACCCTATGCACAGGCCTCGCTCAAAGACTAGACCATAACCTGCCGTGAGCCCGTGTAGTTGCATGCCTCAGAAACTCTAAAGCCATGATCCCTGAACCCTAAGCCCTAAACACCAAATCGCCTAAATCCTAAAGCCAAGGCCCTAAACCCTACACCGCCCAGCTAAGCCCTACCTTAATCAACCCTGAATATCCTACCTTTTTTAAGGACTCATACAAGGAAATCATAATTCATAAGGAACCCTAAAACGGTAGCATATTTAGGGTTAAGGTAAAGCCTAAGCCCCGAACTCCTCACCCCTTAGCCCCTAGCAATCTAAAGCCCTCGGGAGCATCGTTCGGAGTCCGCACGACCCAGCGCGCTGCGGGGGCAAAAGGCCTCGACAGCTTGGAGTTTGCCTCCACATAGGTGTCTAGCTACATATATACATAAAACACTACGTTAGATGATGTTATGTTATATCATGACAAGTTTGTTGATCTACTCAGATCTATATTGGTTTGGTTATCATCTTTATCTTCTTTACATGTATTTGTTTCGACTTATCACAGAGTTTAAACAAAGGGCTTGAAGGGCCTTTCTCAGTGCATCTTTCACACACACACACACACTCTCTCTCTCTCTCTCTCTTTCCGTCTCTTTTCCTTCCCCCCTCTCAAAGCTAGAAACGAAACGGTTTCTTGACTCTACTGCATGTGGTTTTGTGGTCGTACGTATAGAAAGATCGAAATGTATATATGTAGGCATGTGTGGTATGTGAGCCATGGAGGGATGGAGGGATGGAGAGAGAGAGGGAGAGGGAGAGGGAGAGAGAGAGAGAGAGAAAACAAAAGAGAGAGGAGAGAAGATAGAGAGAGAGCGAGAGAGCGAGAGAGCGAGCGAGAGCGAGGGAGAGGGAGAGGGAGCACCATAGCCATAGCCCGAAAGAAACAAGGAGAGAGAGAGAGAGAGACAGAGAGAGACAGAGAGAGAGAGAGAGAGAGAGAAGCACGAAGCAAGCGACAGGGAGAACGAGCGAACAACGAAAATTGTGCAGGGTTAAAACATGATGGCAACATCTGGCCTTGCAGGGACCGATTTCGGTTCAATTTTGGTACAACATGAGGGTGGTTGTTGTTCGGTAGTGCGTCTAGCAAGCAGTTTCATGTGTTGGCCCCGCAAGGCAAAACGCTTGAGGCTTCTGCGTCTATCTAATATAGAAGCCTACATAGTTACCAAAACTATTGTTGGGGTTCCATATTACAGTTAGGGCAAAAAGTACTTAAAAGCCCTATTCTGATTATTAAGGCCCTGTACTACATTCTTGAGAAACAAGACCCACGTCCTCGAACCCTAAACCCGCAACTCAGCCCCTAAATCCCTAAACCCTAAACCCCCAAGCCCTAAACCCTATAGTAACCCTTATGGGAACCCTTATAGGAACGCCCCCAAGAGACCCCTTCAAAGGATCCCTAAAAAGCCCTAAAACCCAAAGCCCGAAAGCCTGCACCCCCGAACCTGCAATCTCCCTCAACCTGCCAAACCCTACTTTTTCTAGGACCTAGAGTAGGCCCTTATTCCCTTTTTTAGGGTTCAGGTTCCCTTATAAGCCCCTTTAAACCAAAAAGGGCACCCTTTTTATTCCTAGGTTACTCTTGGGTCTAGTTTTTGTAGGTTCTTAATATCAACCCTAATATGGTATTTACCTATAGTCTCCATTGTAGCTCCTTTTTTTGGTTAACCAAAAACTCTATTATAGGGTCCTAACCATAAGTTGGTTAACCAAAAAAAGGAACTACAATGGAGACTATAGGTATAGGGACCCTACAGAAAGGTGGGTTTTGGTAGGTTAAGGTCCAAGACTCTGCACCATCCCTGGCAGCTGTGTCGGCTCGGAAGGGGAGGGGGTGCTCTGCGGTTTCCGCCGCGTGGAGCAGTCGGAACCATGCGCCTTGTCCGCCTAAACACCCTATAGTTCGGGTTCAGGGCTGAGGGCCTAGAGATTCAGAGATGTTTATGAGTTACGGTTTAGGGGTTTGAAGGATGTAGGGTTTGGGCCTAGAGTGTACGGCTTAGGGCCTAGGGTTTAGGGAACAGGGCTTTGAGTTCAGGGTGATAATTTGGGGGCTTACGGTAAATGGAAGTTTCGGCAAATTTAGGCACACATAGACGTTTTGAACCAGCGATCGTAATGATCCTTTATGTAGCCCCGCCCTCCCTCCATTCTCTGAAACGCACCAACTCGTCCGTTTTTGATACCGATTTAGGGCTTACTTCCCCAAACACGGAGCACTAGAAGCTCAACAAAATCTCAGGTCCGACACTCTTCACCCTACGTCGCTAAACCTCAAGCCTTACGCCGTAAATAAAGTAGCAATTCGCCTACACCCTATGTACACCCTTCAGTTCCCTGGACCATGAAGCCCAAACTCGAGCCGACAATGTTCAGATTCGCGCCTCTAAGATTTTCGGTTGAGGGGCTGAGGGTTTGTTAGGGTTTGGGGGTTTAGGGCCTAGGCTTGGGCGGATTGGCTGTCTCTCGGATTTTCTCGTGGATATTCCCGCTGATGTTCTGAAGGTTCTTCACAGAACCCGTACCAAAAATCGCGTGCAACGTCGGCCAACAAGTCCACCCGCCAAAACATGAACAAACAAACCACGCAAAGCTTGCCCACAAAGACAGTACCAAAGGTTAGTTCTCTACGGCCCCAACAATTTCCGGAGAAGCCTCTGCGTACAGCGTGCTTCGGAGTAGAAATGCCAGGGCAGTACATCGTGTCAGAGACAAGATGTCTGGTTCTAAACCCCGGTGCATGGTCCTAATTCCTGAACATGCCTGAGCCCTAGTCTTGCGATATGAGGAACATATTCCGACTAGCCGGAGACATGTCGCGAGCTCAGTGATCTTAGCCGCGATCTTCGGGATGGTCCCTGTTTCGAATGTAGGGTACCGCAATGGGGGTCCTTTGGGTTGTAAGGGCTTTGAAAGATTACTTTCGAGCATCATGCTTATCAGGGTTTTGTGAAGACTTCCTCGATTAGTTGACGCTTTTGATCGGGCGCAGTTAAACAAAGGTAGAAGTTCAGGCACGGAATCGTCCTCAGAGGGGGCAGAGTTGGCTTCGAGCACCTGCTGCTCAGTGTTGAGTTGACATGTGAACATCCGTGGCGCTGCATTTTCTTGCCATCGGGGTAAACACTGTGCAGGCTCATGAAACTCCCTCAATCGCACGAGAACACAGGGCACATAAACGAATCACTTACGCTTGTCAGGTCTCCCATCAGCCATTCCCAAAGCTCGAAAATCCTTTGCTTCCTCACCACAGGCTAACCCAAATCCTAAACCCGAAACCGGTTAATTATTGAGGCGCCTACATCATGGCCTTTATGGTGTTGCCGGGTGTTGTTAGGGTGTTCTGAGTTTGCTGCAGGCTCCACCTCACCAGCATCATGCTGCTGCTGTGGCCCCTCGGCACGCTTTGTGCTGGCCATGGAGTTCAAGTAGTAAGGTTCCTTTAAAGGCTTCCGGTTCCTTTAAAGGCTTCCGGTTCCTTTAAAGGCTTCCTCAGAGTTTAGGGTCTCAGGGTTTAGGGTGTATACACTACACCCCAAAGACCCATTCGCTGCTTGAGGCTGCTGGATATCAGACACCCCAAAGCCCTGGACCCTAAACCTATGCACCCTCTTCAGCCCAAATGCCCCAAAACCCTATTCCCACTATTAAGGCCCCTGTATTAGGGGTGTAGGGTCTGGGGCTAGGGCTTTGGGGAATATGGGTTGAGGCGTTTCGGGTTTCAGGTTAAGGAAGTTGCAGATTGAGGTTATGGGCTTTAGGTTTTCAAGGCATCTACTAGGATCCGATCCACCAGCGAGCCAATGGAGGAAGCTGCACAAGAGCAAGAGCTGCGTGGGCGTGTCTTGCCGGATGCAGGACACTGGGATAGGGTTTCATGCATGCCAGAGGCTTTGCTAAGTATCGATTTGGGATACGTGTCTGCCCTTTTGTGTCCTACTGTTGAAATCGACAACTAGTTTGGGTTTGGGGTACTCTGATTCCGATTAGTTGGGTCTGTGACAGCAGACTAGAGACACTGCGTGCGTCGTGTCTCCAGTCTCTGTGGGTGTATGTGTGTGTGTGTGTGTGTGAATGTGTGAATGTGTGTGTATATATATATATACACACCTGTACATATATATATATATATACACATACGCAGACACATACTGTGTTTGAGTGTGTGTGTGTGTGTGTTCGCCGAATCGAAGCACCTACGCTGGAAAGCGCACCCCTAAGCCTTAAACAGCATCTCAGGCAGGCCTGTCTGCCGACGGAAAGAAGCGCTGAACAAAAAAACAACAAGCAACTAGGCTCCGGAGAGTAGTTGTTTCGGTTGCTGCCTTGCTTCTGCGGACCCTCTCTTCTTCAGTGTCTGCCCTAAACCCTAAAACCAAAACCAAAAAAACACTGCAGGAGATGTATGCCATCGTCTTCATATTTCGGTACCTGGACCTTCTCTGGAGCTTCATTTCAGCCCAGTGGCTGCAAGAGTAAAGGATCCTCGCATCTGTGCGATCTGCATCGGATCATTCTGGGGCGGCTTACAGAAGCCTATGTAATATAGACCTCTTGTAGAAACCCCAGAAACTCTTTCGATCATTTTGCAACCCTCTCAACCCTCCTTTGCCAGAACTATGTCCGTTGCTGCTTGCTTTTTTGATTGTTGGTGGCGTTGGTGTTGTTGCTGTTGGTGGTGATGGTGCTGTTGCTGCTGCCGCTGCTGTTGTTGCCGGTGATTGTGCTCAGTTACTGTGCACTGATGACGACTGCGATGGCGGGGATGACGAGTTCAGTGTGATTCCGTGCTCTTCGAGTGTGCAGCTCTCGTAGCTGGAAGGAAGTGGTAGATGGAGATAGACTTCAGGTTTACAACACTGTGATGAAGGTGGTATTCATCACCGCCACGATGCTCGGATCACAAGGCGAAGGGTCACTTTGAGGGCTTTGTTCTAAGGTGGCATCCGAGATGTTCCATTTTCAGGTACTGTTTTCGATAGCAAACTCCTGCAGATGTGGGCTCTTCGGACATCAAGACAGCAGCTCAAGCATGGGAGCCCCACGCCTTATAGTCCCTGAACCCCCGACCTCAGTGCACCCAACTGCGCCTCCATCGAGGTCTTTGACGGATGATCGTCTAGAAGCCTGAACCACTCCTTCCGACCGCTTCTGTTCCTTAGTGGTCAGGAATACAATAGTCCGAAAAAGCTTTATGCTCTTGGTCAAGGCTTCGGAGCTTGGATGACTCCTCCATAGTTGCGACGGCGATGCCCCATTGAGTGTTTCAAGTAGTAGTGCAAGGGTTCGTCATGGGCTTTACCGGGTTTAGGGGATCAAAGGCTCCCCCAAGCTCCCCCCAAGCCCACAAGAAATAAACCATAAGCCCCAAATCACAAAGCCCGCTAAGCCTCCATGCTCAGGATCTATTTGATTTACCTGATGCGGGTGAAGCCGCCGATTTCCCAGACTTACGAGAGGACCTCGCGCTCGTTTTGGCATTAGCATATTCCAGCATACGGTATATTATCTTACATGCTGTAAGTTATGCATACATATTTCTATATTATACATAACGGTATATCATATTAGAACAACTTCGAGCCACAAGCACGAGCTTTAAACACCTGTAACTACCTTCCTAAGGCGGCGCATAAAGACATGCGAAGGAGTACAGACAAGTTCCAGTATGAGATTTACCTCCTGGGGCCTTGCCTACTCCTGGGCATCCTATGCACAGAAGAGTACACCATCCCGGAGGCGTGGTCTGTGATCATGTTGCTTCCATCGTTGGGATTGCTGCTGGCACTACTACCAACTACTACTAGTACTGCTGCTACTACTACTACTACTACCACTACTAACTACTACTACTACTACTACTACTACTACTACTACTACTACTACTACTACTACTACTACTACTGCCACTGGGACTGCTACACCTACTACCTACTACCTACTACCTACTACCTACTACCTACTCCTACTCCTACTCCTACTCCGACTCCTACTCCTACTCCTACTCCTACTCCTACTCCTACTCCTACTGCTGCTGCTGCTGCTGCTACTGCTGCTGGTACCAGTACCACCACCACCTCCACTGAAATCATGCAAGAAAGCACTGCTTCGCTTTGTCGTTGTTTCTTGCTACTCTCAAAACTCATAGTGTTACCACTATTCCTACTTGCAGTCTTCTGCCTGCTGATGTTGCTCGACACAACTTGTTCGCTTGTGTGTGCTGCGACTTCGGACCAAAGAGCTACTTTTCTCAGGCTCGGATCGCAAAGGCTTTGCATACCTGGTGCAATCTCTCATAGGCCAAGTCGCACATTTATGAGGAGCACTGCATCTTGATTCGCTGATGCCGCAAAATCTGCATACCTTCTTCATGGCGTCCTGCCATGTTAGTGAGACTACTGTAAGAGTACTTGTGAGGTCTGATGACCTGCGCACACTCACCCACATCCCCTTCTCCCCCAAACCCCAAAGAGACCATGAGCTCCAGTAACCGTAAGCGAGCCGGGTCCTGACGCTACCCAAAGGCCCCAAAGTAGTTCCTTTTGGGGATTACCTAATAGGGTTCTTTATACGAACCCCCAAAAGGAACTTCTTTGGGGCCTTAGAGTAAAGTATCCTCAAATCTCCCGCAGATCCCGTGGACCCTAAACCCTAAACCCGAAACCCTAAACCCTAAAGCCAAATTCTTAAAGTATCCTAAAAACTCCCGCAGATCCTGTGGACCACGTCGATTTGGCTAGAGTCTGTGGCCATCGTGCCGCAGCTGGTCCTGCTGCAGCAGATGAGAGAGGTCAGCATCGTTTGCAACCTTCAGGTCTTTTCTTGCAATCTAGGGTTCAGGGTTTGGGTTCCTCCGAAGCAATGACTTTTTTTTTGGATTTTGGAGGACAAGGGGGGGGAGTAATTAATTCAAGGTAATTAGAGCTGTTCTCGTCTCAACCAGCCACCAATGCCATTTCTTATGACTTTGTCTTGTTGCAGACGAGCCAGCAGTTGGCCAGGCAGGGCTTTGGGACATTTTGGATTCGCTCTTACGGGGCTTAAGAGGATCTTAAACTTACCTACTAATATTTTTCAAAGGCTTTAAAAGCCCCTCCTAGCTGGTCATACCGGCTTCGAAACTAACCCCAGGCCCAAGATTAGAAGGGGATCGAAGCTGCATGCACCTCCCATCCCACGCGTTCCATCGCTTTCTTTTCCCCGTCGTGACCAAAACCCCTCGCCGAACCCTAAACCTAAACCATATACCCTAAACCCTATACCCGAAACCAAACACCCTAAACCATATACCCTAAACCCTATACCCTAAACCATATACCCTAAACCATATACCCTAAACCCTATACCCTGAACCTTATACCTGAAGCCATATAACTTAAAGCCTATACCCTAAACCATATACCCTGAACCTCAAAAAACCCCAAGCCATATAACCTAAACCCTATACCCTAAACCCTCTACCCTAAAGCATATACCCTAAACCATGGACCCTAAACCCTATACCCTGAACCTTATACCCGAAGCCATATAACCTAAACCCTATACCCTAAACCAGATACCTTAAATCCTCTACCGTAAAACCATATTATACCCAAGCTAGAGGCAGCTGAAGCATGAGCTGACATGAGAGTTTCAGAGACTCAGGGACCCCAATATAGAGTGAAGATATTCGCATCCTCAAAATGAGTAGTTGTCAAAATTAGGGTCCCTTTTTGGGTACTACTATAATAAGGACCCAAAAAGAGACCATAACTTTGACAACCACCATAAATAGAGGCCCCCCACACAAGGAAGCCCCCCAAATTTTGGAAGCCACAATCCTGGGAGGTTGAAAATCTGACGTCCCAGTTCGTTGCCACCATGGGAGCGTGACCTTCAGGGTTTAGGGTTTAGGGTTCAGGGTTTAGGGTTTAGGGTTGGGTCTCCTTTCGAAGAAAGCAGAAGACCGGGGCTTTCGCGCGCTACCGTTCACACCTGCGTGTGCTGCCTTCGCCTTAAGTATCTGCGAGTCTTTCGATTACCCGACATTTTCCTGTAAGACATCAGCAATTCAATCGGTTAGCTCCGGAAGAAGCTACATGACTCATGGTTTGCGTGGGCATTCAACTCTACAGTGTTCATGATGCCGAGTCGTCGCTGTGCCCTGAACGGAAGATCTCGAAGTTTCTGTGCACGGTTTTCGGACAAGTCGCTTGTGGGATTGGACCGGCAGCCCCGAGCTACCCTAGAGACCCTAAGCGGGGCAGTCGAAGCGTCTTGAGAGTCACCGTTGGTTAGTAGGGAATGGAAGAATGGTGGTAATAGTAGTTATAATTGTACCTCATTCCTCCATTCCCTACTAACCAAAGGTAAGGAGAGTCAGGTACAGGGCCTTCTACATCCTCAACTGGATCTACCGCTACTTTGCCCGGTGCTCAGGGCACGGCAGGGTTCTCCTCCTGGAAGTTTGCCTAGCGTGGTGCCTTAGTGACTTAGTGGTTAGAACAGTATGTTATTTCAGGGTTCACGCTCAACTTGGAGAATAATACATCCCAAAGCTGATTGCCCCAGGGCTCCCGTTACGTAATATAGTAGGTTACTAACCATATTAATGTATACCCCAGTAACCTACTATATGGGCGGTTGTCAAAGTTAAGGTCCCTTTTGGGGTACCCTACAGAGTAGGTGCCGTATTAGAATCGGGACCATCATTTTGACAACCACCCATATCCCAAAGGGCCCCATGTACCGATATAGTAGAATGTAGGGCCTGTAGGGTTTCCAATCGGAATTACTATGATGGCTTAGGGAAGTATTCCCCATAACAGTACATAGGACCCTTTACTTGGAGGGTCGGGGGACTTAGTAACTGATTATTTTAGGGACTTATAAGTACCATAACCCCAATTAGGGTCCCTTTTAGGGTACTTATAAGTCTACTTACTAACTCCTTCCTAAGTCCCCTGACCCTCCAAGTAGGCATAGGCAACTGGAGCCTCAGGGTTGCTCAGGCCCCATTGTAACCCCTCCAAAGGCGGCCCTTCCTTCTCCCTGGTGCCTAATTAGTAGGGAATGGGGGAATGGATCCCTATAGTAGTCCTTATATAATCCCCAACAAGGGTCCCCATAACCCATTCCCCCATACTGAATAGTTTTTTTTCCAAGATCGTGGAACCGGAGCGTATCTGTCATTCGGGTGCCTTCTTTATTCAGCAGGCTCCTGTATAACCATGACTGCAAACAGTGGCACATTTAATTCTGCACGTTTTAGAAGGCGGCTGCACTCCTTTTTGTTATAAAGGCTCGGTAGAGGCAGCCGCTACCGATCGCCCGCTTCACGCTGCAAGACGTAATGTAGGCGCCTTACTAAATTAGAGCAGGGTTTGGGGGGTATATTAGTACATAATACTACAGTTACAATAAGGAACCCCCAAAACCCTATTCAAAATATTACCCAGAGGCCCCATAGTAGTTCCGTTTTGGGATTCCCTTATAGGGTTCTATATACGAACCCCAAGAAGGAACTACTTTGGGGCCTTAGGGTAAAGCCCCGAGAGGGGGCCTCGTCTCCTACGGCAGCTGCCAGCAAGAAACCCTAAACCCTAGCCGCTGCACAAGAATTCTCTATACTATTATTTGGAGGGGTTCCTCATATAGTATAATAATTGTAGTATAATTCGCCCCAAAACCCTGCAAACCCTATTCTCTTTGTTAAGGCCCCTACTATTAGGTAGGGCTTTGGGACAGTTTATATTTGCTTTTATTGGGCTTAAGAGGACCTTACCTACTAACATTTTTCAAGGCTGATGACTATGTCAACTGGGTCGGCTGGGTCGGCGGACTGGTGCAGACTGTCGCTCGTCGGAGGATAGTGCAGGGTTGTTCCGATTTCGGGCCGCATTGAGACATCGGCTGGGTTGCTGTGTGGGTTCATGCCACGGCTTGCCTTCCTTAAGGTTATGTGCACGTACATACGCACATGTGCATATGTACTCGTATGTACCCATGCGCATGTACATGTTTACATACACATACATATATATATATATATATATATATTATACATATATACATATATATATATATATACAGCATATTTATACGTATATAGATAAGTTTATATATGAATAGATACAGGTTTGCCTATGTACAATACACATATGTATCCATGTATGTATGGATGGATGTAATAAGCAGGCACATACACGCATACATAAATGTATATGCGTGTGTGCTAAAAGAAGCGTAAGCATTCCAATCCCCAAGTTTCAGACGCCGTAAGTCTCAGAGTATGGCATTCCCAGCCTTTCCTCTCTCCGAAGAATTGAAGCTTTAGGGGTATTTAGGGTTGGAAGGCTTCAAGGCATTAAGGACTAACAATTCGACATGTTTGTGATTCCCAGAGTTGTGGCTTCAGGTCCTACAGCAGAGGTGTTCACAGGCTGTGCAACTTTGGGTTGCAGGGGCGTGGGTGCAGGATGTAGGAGGGATCCGCCCCACTCAACAATGCACACCTTGACCCACTCCCCCTGCCCCAAGCTTCAATTACAGAACCCTGATCCGAAGACAGGTGCTCTACGCAGACTTCTTCTACTACTATGCCCGGAGCAAGTGGTATGGTGGGAAGTGCGACTCTCAGTGCTCGGTTTTGTTGTGGTCGGCTCGGGTGAAGGTGGAGCTCTCCCCAAAAAGAAGTCCCCAAAACAACCTGCCAAAAAGGTTGGTTTTGCCTGTGGCTACGTGAGCTCAGTCTTGCGCGTCGAAGCGACGCCAGTCCAGATTTCTCGCACGGCGGGCGCGGCTGCAACTCTCCGGCCGCAAGTGCGCCAGACATCAATCCTTAACTGCAAAGCAAGAAAGCCCGGGCCCACACCGCACGAGCTTTGCAGAGGATTCAGCATCCAAAGCTCCACCTGCGCATCGTGTATAACATCTACATAATCTCTATCTCTCTCTCTATATATATATATATATATAATTACATGTATTATACATATATATATATATATATATATATTCATATTTATACATTTGTTTCTACGTACATATACATGTATTGAGAGAGAGGTGTTTGTGTGTCTGTGTGCGCGTAGATTCAGGAGGTTCCCATGGAGACAAAAGCAGATGTTGTCAGTTCGAATAAAAGCTCTAAAGTAACTTGATTAGCTAAAGATAAAAAAGGGGGTGGGCTGGAGGGCGAGCTCCTTATCTTCTTCCTTAAAACAGTGAAAAAGGCGAGCCCAGGGGGAAAAGAAAGGTCAACAACAATGTAAGAACCAAGGAGAAAATAGAGGGAAAGGCCAGGCGCAGGCCAGGAGACGCCGGACATGCCCGCGCACCTGTCCTTTGCTTGGCCTTGGCATTTTTCGTGTGTTTTCATTGTGTTTCTTTTTGACAAATTGTTCTCTTTGTTGTTTACTTATACCTTTCTGTCGAGGAAAATGATAGGAACGCTCGCCCACCAGCACGCTAGCGCAGGAAGATCCGAGTCACGTGGCTTGTGCCGGGTCTTCACCTGTTGTTCTCCACCTTTTAACATTTATTCCACCTTTTCCCTTTGTTGTTAATTTTGTACTGCCTTGTTTGTCAGAAACGTCTGTTTGGGTCCCCCCCCCATCGTAACTTTCCTTTGAAATGTTTAGAGGATACAACTGCAGGGATCGGCTTGAAGCAACAGGAGGTTAAGGTGCAGTTCGTGGTTAAGAGTGTCCGCTTCGGCATTCTATTGCTCAGTCACACGAGAACATGGGGACGTAACTGCGGCTGGGCTCGACAACCGCTTGCCATGTAGATCTTGCATGCACATGCATGTCTTTCTTGTTGAGTTAGGCTTTGTTCCCGGCGGCGCCAGACTGTTCACAGGCCGACACAGCCAAGATGATATAAACGTCTTTATTTTCCGACATGTGCCTTTCCCTATCCGTTTAATAATTTAAAACCCAAAGTCCTGAACCCGCAGCGGTAAGAACAACATACTAATACAACTCATAATATAATAAGTTAAAAAGTCAAAACACGAAGAATAATAATACCAATAATGATGATGATAATTCTACTCGCAATACCAACCTTACTCCAGTGATAACACCATAACAGTAATACCAATCTCTAGAATCGAGTTGCAGCCGAGCCTCAAAGAACACAAGTGGCTCGCACGAGCGCTTTGCTTTATACTGTAAAGGCCTGCTTTGGGGTCTAGGAGGGCTGGGGCAGCGAAGGAGAGTGTGATTCCTCAGCCCGCAGCGGTGTCAAGGGGGTTAAAGTAAAAGCCAGAAAGTTGGAATATGATTATCCTAACCCTTCTATGGTAAATTATAGGGTATCCTACCATGAAACCATATTCCAACTTTCTGGAGTTCCCTGTAGCTGTATGACAGCGGAGATCAGCTTTTTGCGTGGATTCAGTCTTCGGTTTTTCCCTATGCCAAGACTGGCATTACCCAGAGGCCCCAAAGTAGTTCCTTGCTGGGGTTCATATATAGAATTGTATAAAGTATAAGGTGACCCCCAAAAGGAACTACTATGGGGCCTATGGGTACTTGCTACACCAGAAGACGGCCTTTGCAAAGGTTTTCATGCGCAGGCTCTAATAAGGGCCTGCTCCGAGCCACAAGAACGTGACAGGCAGCATCAGGTGGCGGTGATCCGAGCTTTTCATGGGAGGCTGCGGAAGTATGTAAAGATCATGACAGCAGTCCCTAAACCCCTAAACCCATAGAGTTTATGTTTAAAGTTCATCGGTCATGATGCTAGTGATGATTCAGTCGCCGCCGGCTTCCTCGAAGCTGCAGCTGCAGCTTCTGCCTAGTTTGGTGAGAGCATCACGAAAGTCCCCTCTGTGAAGTGCCGGATTCCCTCCCAGCTTTGGCCGTCTTTGATACAGAAGAGTGCAATGATTGCATGATTCAGCGCAGGTATGCTCCGTGTTTGTATGAACCGCTTTAATAACATGCGAGAACTTTGGTATTCAAACCCACGTCGTGAAGGTGTATTGCCAGGTGTGTGTTTCTTAGCACTGCTGTAGGCGGAGAGAATATACCAGTGGCTTCGCTCTGCCACAAAAAGGTGCGACCTTTCTTGCAAGTTTCGGGTTAGGGTAGTTATAAGGGTTCCTTTAAGGGTCTGTTTAAAGGGATCTATAGGGATTCTATAAGGGGTTTAGGGGCTTAGGGGTTTAGGGGTTTAGGGGTTTAAGGTTTAGGGTTTAGGGTTTGGGGAAGACGTTTTGGACTCTTCAGCCCTAAAGCAACAAGTGAAGTCAGGGGAACCTTCAGCGGCATCCTGCAAGAATGACCCAGCTACAGTCTACTAGTAGACTATATTGCTATTCTGTTATAGTCCCGAGTATGTATGTATGTACTGTATGCATATATATATATATATATATACATATGTCTATATTTATATACATATATGTATATATATGTGTATATTTATTTGCTTATCTATTTATGCTTATATATATATGTTGGCTACAAGATGGTCGAACATCCGATTCTAGCTCTATTTTTGTTTAGGGTCACCTACATTATGCTTCTCGCTGAGCAAAAACAAAGAGGTATAATTTAGAATGCTGGACGGGTTGAGCATCTTGCTGCATCTTGCTTGTGTGGCCTTCAGCAAACCAAGCCCAAAACAATAAGCCCCCGACTGACCTCCAAACCCTAAGTAACCTCTAGTACCACAAGCCCTAACACCCTGAAAGACTAAACCCTAAAGCCCTAAAGTCCTAAACCTAAGCTGTGGAATCTTCGAAGCTTCACCTGAGACTCAGCCCCAAGCCTTCAGGCCTTCGAGATGCAAGGTGTCAAGCACAGACCACTTTGGGTTTCGGGTCCAGGGTATCTGAGCCCACCGGCCGACGACTCTATACCCCCCTGAAGACTAGTCCCTCCCAGCCCCTCCCCATCCCCGTACGAAAGTATGCAAAGCGCACCAAGCAGCCCTGTGATTTTTGGCTGCGTGCAGCGCATGCCTTGGCGACGGCTGGTCGTGTCCAAGCGTCTGGCGAGGCTCCGTGGCACCACCGCTCTGTCCTAGAAAGGATACGAAGCTCTTGTTGTACGGTTTAGGGTTTAGGGTTTAGGGGGAGGATCGTTGGGCTACTTTGAGGGTGAGAAGCTACAGGTTTTCGTGCTCCATGCAAGGATTCCCAAGCTTGCGCAGTTGTCACGGCCTTGAATACTCGGCCTCATCAACACCTCCGTACATCCTGAATCCTCTAATAACCTCCAGAGCTTTATGGAGGCCCGCAGCCACCTCAACTCAGGCTTCGGCATATTTACCAGGTCCCTTTATGGCCCTGTCTCCAAGAAAGCTGCTTTTGGTAAGCTTCGGTTTCGGCACTTCGTCTTCGGCTTTTCTGCATACTGGATCAAGGGAGAAGGGTTGAAGTAGAGTGAGGCTCTGCCAGGCTCGGTGCTGCAAGGTGTCAGCCTGCCCGCCATGACAACGATGCGTGGCGGCATGGATTCGGTGGGAGATAAGAATCACGTGATCGGGAGCGTCTGCCGGAACCACCGCAAGGGCTTTGGCGACATCAACGACATCACCCGGCAGGCCAAGTGCATGAACAGGGATATAGAGAGGAGGGATGTCGAGAGGTTCCTGGGAGCCCATAGTGGCGCCGCACTCGAGCTGAAGAGCCGCTCCGCCGCGGCGGGGTTACAAGAAAGCGATTTCATCCGACGGAGCCGTCCAAAGCTTACTGCTGAAGATGATATCGTACGGGAAAGGCGAAGGAACACTGGTGCTCCAGCCTACCGCTTGTTTCATCGCACTGAACCTGAGCGTCGAGAGGTAGAGTGGGCTCGCCCTCCCTTTGCACATCCCTGCCGTGCAACGTGTGATGAGTACAACAGGAAGGAGATCATGATGTCAGCCTTGCATCTCGAGCGTTCGAACTCCCTTCGCCCGCAGAGTGCGGGTGCCAAGTCCATGTCCAAGAGCCAGGGTCCGGGGCCTAAGCCGGAGACCAAACGCCGCCCTGCCAGCGCGTCGGCTGCATCCAATCGGAGCTCGGCTAAATCTGCAGCTTCCGGCTCTGGCCTAAGCAAACTTACGCCGGCCCTCCGTGTGGAGGTACAAAAAGTAGTGTCTGCTCAAGTGGAGAAGATCGTGCAGCCATTGAAAGAGCAGCTGGAGAAGGAGCGGCTGACCAGGCAACGCCTAGCTTTGTCTCTAAGTAGCCTGTAGGAAAACTGAAGGACCTGAATCAAGTAGAAGGAACGTTGCTGTTCTTCTTGGATTTGTTCGTCGACATAGTAAAAGCTCTTGCCGTAGCAGTCATGGCTGGGTTTAGATCTTACAAGTACAGCAACACACACTCTCACAAACACATACATTACATTACACTACACGACATTACATTAGAATACATGACGTTTCCATACATATGTACATACGTAACAAAAGTCGCAAGTAAGCATAGTACCTACGGCTTCAGGACCAACATGTTGTCCCCTTGTGGGGATCCAAGTCTTTTGAGCCCCCGCCTGACTGTCGAAGCCTGCTCTAAGAGATGCCAAAGGCATCCCAGAGAGAGCATGGCAACTGCATTATTATTGTTATTATTGTTATTAATATCATTATTATTATTATTATTATTATTATTAATATTATATGTTTACTACAATACATATATTACAATAATACAGTATAATATGAGGCATCTCAGTAGGCATGGTAAAGACACAGGAGACGCTTTAGGGTTGAGGGTCAAGGGTTTAGAGACATAAAAGACCT